GAGATATTATTATTCCTTTCTAGGAGTATAAAGTTACTAAGTTTAGTCTAATATAACGATAGGGTATATATAAGATAGAGAAGACTCTAAGGATATATATTCCTATATAACGAGAGACTAAACTAAGGGAAAGAAGAAAGGAAGGAAGGAAGGAAAGGATACGACGCTATACTTTTATATAGCGGCTATCCTTACTAAGGCCTTAATATATTAAGCCGTTCTTCCTATATAACTAATTAGAGATATACGCTTATCTCGTATCTCGTCCGGAATAACGTTAATCCGTTACGGTTCGTCCTTACTTAGCGTAGTGTTAATCGGTATGGGATATATCGTCGAGTCAGGTCAGATCTGGCTAGATCTGGTCAGATCTGGTCTGTCTGTGCTCACGGCCGTGACATTAGGAAGCGTACCTTTTCTCCTATAGGCTTAGTAAGCCTAATTAGCTTAGGGCCGTCCCGGCGGTCCCTTTACTCCGCTCTTCCACTTGAGCTACGGTGGCGCATAGGGATGCTTCTCCCATACGAGTCACGTGCTCTTCTGCTGCGTTTGTGACAAATATCCACTCTAGTTATCGTATATATTATGTTCGCCGTCAAATCCTTCACTATCTTCTTTATCGCCCTGGCCGTCATGGCTCTCTTTCACTTTGCCATAGATAAGATCAGGCTTATAATCCATATGGATATCTACGTCAACCCCTTCATGACCGTAGAACCTCCCTAGGAATGCGTTCCAACAGTCCCTATGCAGCGTCCTCAATGCCTGGTTCTCCGGAAAATACTTGCATAGGTCCTCAGCTAGGTAGGCTACTTCTCTGGAGAGATAGTGTAACTGGCGTTGTATGTCTTCCTCGGCTTGGTCTAAAGCAGTCAGATTATAACCTAGTTTATTTTCGGCTGTATTTACCTCGGCAGTTGTGGATAGACTCATATTTGCGAGCTGTATCCAGTAGCTGTGTTTTCAGCGTCTTCACATCCATAGGCTGGTCGAAATTGTCGAGTGATTCTGACATTCGCAGGTGGGCACTGGAAACTGAATGTAGATATCCCGGAAGTTTAAGATATCTTGCTCTGTGAGGTTAACTGGTTGAAGGAAGGCATTGAGCATGGGGCAATGTATTTATCTTATGGGCGATTTATTCTAGTCTAGAAGTTATATATCTATTTTTGGAGAGAGGCTGCGGAAGCTCCTTCACCGGTATATGTAAGATTCGCCTCCCATCGCCTCTGGGATCGAAGAGCTGTGAAGCTGATGAGATCAAAATTTGACAGGATGCTGACAAGCATATAAGCTAAGAGGTCCACTAGGATCCTGATCTTTTTGGGTGGATCCCCCAGAGGACTCTGGACCTCTTCCTGGTATTATCCTAGCATTTCACAAGAGTGTTTTTCCGAGATCTACAAGTGGCCTCTTTCCAGGCCTTCTAGTTCGTACGCGGGTTCGGGTGCTGGTTGAGGCTTATCGATACCTACTCCTTCTATAGGTCAACGAGGACGGCCGACTAGAGACAGAAGGCGGCGAGGCCGACGACACACGTGCCGTCCGCCTCGTTGACGGGAAATGCGCCGCCAGAGGTACTACGGCGACGCGATGGACAGCGGGCCCGACGTTCCACGACCTCCTTGTCCAGGAAGCCGACCATCTTGCCCTTGGTGACTAGCTCGCTGTCAATGAAGCGCTTTTGGAGGCACCAGTTGCGCCACCCCTTCTGGCGTGGGGCGCACGTATTCTGCGTGTCCAGCGGGCGCTATTACCCCTTCATGGCGAGGTACTTGAGAGTAGTCGTGCGCATCCTGACCTGGTTGAGGATGTCGGTCTGCGAGAGGGGCGTCTCAATGAGAACTGGGAGGAGGAGAAGGAGGGGCTTTGGCAGCCCTAGGTGGGGGCCGGTGAAGGCGCGGGAGGAGTAGCAGGCTGCGAGGACGAGGGTGAGGATCAGGATCAGGATCAGGATTAGGATGATAGTGTCGTGGTCGTGTGCGGCGGGCGATACACTACTCGCGCGGCGCGAGAGAGCGGGTCTCCGTGGCGGGGCGACAAGGTCAAATTGGGTGAGAATTTTGGTTAGTCGACAGCATTTATGGAGTGCCGTCTGGGCCTTAGTCTAGCTATATTCCGCCAGGGCGCGGCCCGCCTTCCTGTGAACGCCACAATCGCCCGAACAGTGGATAATTGTTATGAACCGGGATTCTGACAAGCATATGAGCTAAGAGGACCACTTAATTTTTTGGGCGGAACCCCAAGGGACTATGGACCTCTTCCCGATACGGCCCCAGAGAAGGATTGATGTAACAGGTATAAGACCCTGACTACTTAGTCGAATAGTGATCTCTGGGCATTCTATTCAGTTAAAGATCAGTCATAGTTCATCCTAACGGGTTAGCATATCAAAATTCGAAGGAAAATTATTATTATAATGTCCCATTACCAGAATAAACAACACGAAGACAGGTATGCCCATCATACCAGTGGTCACATCAGTAAATGGGATGAGAATTGCTAACATCATTATAGTGGCTGGGGGAACGGTAGTCCCAATTTCAGTGGTAACAGTCATAATAGCTACGACGCAGAAAGCTATGCAGCTGATTGCGATGAGGATGGCGACTACGGCGAGGACCATAGTCAGTACAATAGTATCAACCTTGACATGGCCATCACAGGAATAGAACATCTGGTCGTCGATGGGGATGGGGACGGGAATGGCGGCCACGACTTCAACGAGACGAACGAGGATGACTTCAACAAGACGAACGAGGATGATTTCAACGAGACGAACGAGGATGATTTCAACGAGACGAACGAGGATGATTTCAACGAGACGAACGAGGATGACTTCAACGAGACGAACGAGGACGACTACAAAAATAAGAGCAGTAACCACGGCGCCAGCTATCAGACAAGGGGAGAAAAGCATCCTCATCCAGACATAATTCACGTTCTGGTTATGAGAGCATTGGCTGAGATTGAGTAAGGTCAGGCTGAGGCAAATACCGCCATACCATGCTGTTGGATCATTATTGAGTACGGTGGATATGTCCTAAACTCTATTCTAGCGAAATAGAAACGTCGTCTTCGCTCTCTGCCACTTATATATCCTCTTTTAACGGTGGTCCTCTCCTACACATGTCTGATCCATCAGCCTTTATACTTTGAGTCTCCTTATGGGCTATGGGTTCCATTGGAAGGCTCTATCAGGAGATCCAGCACGTCTCTGTAGGTAGGATATGAGAATGGGAGCGGCGATGGATTGCCAGGGTGGACTGATAGGTAACAATACCACCAAACTAAACAAATAGAACAGGCATAATGAACAAGTCAACCAGTTCAAAAACTTAGCGTCCTCTATGCGCAATTGGCACGGCGATCATAGAACAATAGAACGTCTCCAATCCTTCTCATGCATTGCGTAACCAAAGAGCTTCTCATTATAGTTGAATCCTGAGGCGCTCAATATCCAAGTGCACAGGAACGCATTCTGCTATGAACGATCCAATTCAAGCCCCGCCTTCTCCCTGCACAGGCCAACCAGATGTTCGGTTCCAACTGTACGGTGTATCTTCAGCCTTGCACTGGCTTTTCAACTTTCCAAGCTCCATGTGCCAGTATAATAGGCGATTAAATGGTGTTCGTCCAATCCGTCTAAGTGACCAGATAAGACCAGACCCTTTCACAATAGGCAAGCCGAAATTTTCGATAAGACGACCGGCAGGCCATAAATAGCCCACCGTTGACAATATCTTTGCCCCGCTAGGATGCGTGGCATTTATAGCTTTATCATATCTTAGATGATATACTCAAGAAGCGAAGCTTTCGCTTTCTTCCGGCTTGTCTGCCACTAGTGATTCGAATACGATGACGATTCGGAGACGATGACCCCACTATTGACGGAACGCGTTCGTCAGTATGGTCGATGTTCTTCGGGCTGTGCGAAAGGACATAAATTCACGTTTGACATGGCGGTGTAAAGAAGATAGTGTCCAAGCCCACTGATACGGACTCCACTTTTAGCGAAGATGGGTATTCATTTCCCCATCTAGGTAGAGAGGAGGAGTGGGACTCTGAGTTAGGGCTGAAAATACTACTCAGGCACAATGTAAGCTTATGATATTCCTTTGCAAGTGGGGATCTAGGCTGAGTTGGGATAAACATAATTTTAGCATCCAGACTTGGATTGGGGCCAACGATAATATCCAGGGAAAAGGCTTATACAGAATTTTCAACTTGAATACTTATTAAAAGATTGCTGGATGTCCATCTCGTCCGTCGACTTCTAGCGGTTGGCCACGACAATTAGAGCCTCTAAGCATCCGTCTCCAGTACAACCATCGTCTTTGAAGGATACCACTAAATTGAATTGATTTCACATACTCGAAATGTCAGGCGGAGGCAACTATGGCGGATACTATTATGGCGCTCCATATGGTCAGCAGAACCCCTATTCCAATCTACAGTATCCGACCTCGAGCACGAGAACCAATGTCCCCGGCCAGACTCCCAGCCAAGGCAGCTCATCAGGGTCTCCGTATCAGCCAGGTCATCCGTCTTCGCAGCCAGGCCCAAGTTCCGGTGGGCAGCAAGGATATCTATCTCCAGGATATCAGTCTCCGTATCCGCCTCCAGGATATCAGTCTCCGTATCCGCCTCCAGGACATCAGTCTCCGTCTCCATATCCAGGACATCAGTCGCCGTCTCCATATCCAGGACATCAGTCTCCGTCTCCATATCCAGGGTATCTGTCTCCGCATTCGGCTTCAGGGGGTTCAGGAAGCCATAGCGGTGGGTCTGGATATCGGTCCCCGGCCCAGTATGGTGGCTCGGTGTCACCAGTGCCATCGAACTACTCGGTGAATTCCGACTCGAACCCCAACAACATAGGGGCCGAATGGGAGGATGTTAGTCCTTTGAACCACTATCCGCCGATCAACAGTGGAGGTAGCCAGCCATTCTGTGCTCCCACGACCCTCTCTGTGCTATTGCACATGACGATACAAGATCTGCAGATCGAGCTGCAAAGATCCTCCATAAACATTCAGTTCGGCACGCGTGGACTGACTTGGCCCCAAATTCGACAGATTGGCTCGATCTTCCAAGGATTCGGCTATCATTCTTTCTGGCCCGATTATGCTTTTGGCGATGCCACTGAGCAGCAATTGCACCAGGCATACGCGGCGTCGGGCACATACCAGGATGTGCAGAACATTATACTGGCAAATCGAAATATCCGCGAATTCGGGGTCATTGCCACGACAACCACCGGTATGTCTCACGCCATTGTAGGGTTTGTTTCGGGGGGCCAAATCCGCTTTCAGGATTACTCAGTTTCAAATGGCGCCAATGTCACCCGCGAGTACGCCAATGCACAGGCCAGGTTTATCTCAATCTTTTGGTTTATATAATTAGGATGGCCACTACAGTGATCAATAAAATGGGTAAAATGGGTGGGGGTGTCAGCTTCATCGCTGTGCTACTTTTCCACCAATCACAGCCACTCAAATGCGGCGAAGTAACGCCACAGCAGGATTCTCTCCCATTCCTTATCGCGCGGGATCATGCCATATTTCCTTGTAAGCACGTCATTCTCAGTCGAAGAAACGATTCTTTGGCCGTGGAAGACCAAGATGCTCCCGAAGCGTTGTACCCTTATAATCCTTTCGAAAAATGCCACGCCGCTGTAATTCTGGCACCAACAGTTGAGTCACATCATCCAGACCTTGTGGCAAGAAGGGTAGCACAACCGTAAACCCATCGCACGCCTCTTCGTCCAACCATTGCTGCATGCTGTCCGCAATCCCCTCAGGCGTCCCCACGAACGCAAGTCCAGAATAGCCTCCCTGCCGCTGTGCAAGTTGTCGCACTGACAACCCTTCCTCCGCGGCAACTTTCAGAACCCCAGCATGGCTGGTCTTGCTTGCGTTACTCTCGGGAAGATCGGCAGGTAGTGGCCCGTCTGGGTCGAATTTGGATGCATCTGTTCCGAGTGCGATTGATAATGAGGCAATGGCACTGTCGTAGTGGACCAGGCTATCGAGTTTAAGTCGCTTGCTTTGTGCATCATGAATACTGTTGCCTACGACAATCAAGGTGGCAGGCAGGATCTTGATATGATTGGGATCGCGGCCGGCAGCAATAGCACGTCCCTTGATGTCGGCGTATAGTCGTTTGGCGGATTCAATGTCTTTCGGTGAGCAGAACACAGCTTCGGCCGTCTCTCCAGCAAGCTGCTTTCCAGGCTCGGATTGACCGGCTTGGACAATGACTGGCCAGCCTTGAACGGGTCGGGCGATGTTGAGTGGCCCTCTTACCTTCAATTCGTCTCCTACGTGGTTCAAGACGTGAATCTTATCTGGATCGACATATGTGCCGGACTCAGCGTCGCGAACAAATGCATCATCCGCAAAGCTGTCCCACAAACCAGTGACGACATCGTAGAACTCGCGTGCACGCTTATAACGATCCGAGTGATCCATGTGCTCATCACGTCCAAAATTCTTTGCCGCATCGGGATTGGCAGTAGTTACAATGTTCCATGCCGCACGACCGTTACTGATGTGGTCGAGAGATGCAAAGCGACGTGCGATATGATATGGTTCGTCGTAAGTTGTTGATGCTGTTGCAGCCAGACCGATCTTATCTGTGACTTGTGAGAGAGCAGAGAGAAGGGTGAACGGCTCGAAAGAGGTGACGGTGTGACTTCGCTTAAGTGCTTCAACTGGCATGTTCAGCACCGCAAGATGATCGGCCATGAAGAATGCATCGAATTTGGCATCTTCCAGTTTTTTGATGAAGGATTTGAGATGCGAAAGGTTGAAGTTGGCGTCGGGATATGCTCCAGGATATCGCCATGCACCGGTGTGGAGGGAGACAGGGCGCATGAATGCTGTGAGATGTAGTTGGCGAGGTACATCCTTGTTTCGGACAAACAGGTTTTCATGGTCACCCATTGTCTTGACGATCTCCAGGATCAGTGTGAAAGGAGGATAATTCCGGTCTTGTGGCTGGAAAAGCGTAATTTAAGTACCAGAAGTGTATGTTATATACGTTCAAAACATTGAAATGCTGACAAATACAGATATTTTCGTGATCACGACATTACATCTTAGAGAGCTCTTATGCTGTAGTTATGTTAAGACGTCCAGTCAGAGAGTGATCTTTCGTAGCCAAGTGCTCGTCTTCACTATCTCACTCTTACTTTTTGCTACCAAGAAAAAAGATCCAAATTACGCCAGACTTGACTTATAAGACCATAGATAAATAATAAATAATAAGATAGAAAATATAGAATGACTTAGGAATCCCAAAACGAATTTATTACGAATGTGGGATAGTGGACAGAATCAATACTCCTATATAGGGCTGGGGATCTCCCCACAGTATGGTAGGATACCTTTCTGGGGTAAATCCGACGTTGATACCTCGGCATATATTCTCGATAGGAACCCCCTCAAGGTAATTCCGGCAAAATAATGATAAACCCCAGACCAACTGCATGCCAGCCAGCAAAACTTCATCTGTATAGTTTTGAGGCATACGTCCCCTTCTTCGCCCAGCCAATGGTCCAGTACTACGCATCTCTGGGATTTTTAGCACCATTTTTACCACTGATATTGCAATTTTGCGACAGACCACGACAAGTCAAGGCTCAAACGCCCCTCGCGTCTTCAACATGGCTCTTGTTCATCCACCACCACTAACGAGATTCGTGAAACTCTCTTTTCCTACGCCAATGGTGGTCCTCATCACGATGTCGAGACCAGAGAAGTTAAATTGCATCTCTGCGAGCGATGTTCTCGAAATGACCGATGTCTTCCGCTGGTTTGACAATGAACCCTCTCTCTCGGTAGCCGTTCTTACTGGAGCTGGAGACAAGGCATTTTCGACAGGTGCTGATTTGAAGGAATGGCAAAAAAATGCATCAGCTGCTGCTGGCAAGCCCGGTGCGGCTCCAGGCGACGTAGCCGGAGCCATTCCTCTATCAAACCGTGTTGGCAAGAAGCCAGTGATCGCTGCCGTTAACGGTATGGCCCTGGGAGGGGGGTGTGAGACGGTCATTAACTGCGATCTGGTGGTTGCCGCCGATACTGCTGTATTTGGGTTGGTGGAGGTGAAGCGAGGCGTTGTGCCATACGCTGGTGTCCTTCCTCGATTGATACGGACTCTAGGTTTACAGAGAGCAAGCGAAATGGCTTTGACGGGGAATTGCTTCTCTGCCCAAAAGGCATTGGAGTGGGGTTTCGTTAACAAGGTGGTTCCACAGTCAGAGGTTGTTAAAGAAGCTATACTGTACGCGAAAGTCATCGCTGAAAATAGCCCTGACTCAATTATCTGTACAAGAGCTGGGCTAAGACAGGGGTGGGAAACTGCAAGCGTTGTTGAAGCAACTGCTATAACTAAGAGGAATGAATGGGCTGAGCTGCAAAAAGGAGAGAATATCCAGGAGGGCCTGAGGGCATTCAGAGAGAAGAGGCCACCTGTATGGGTACCATCGAAGTTGTAGTTTCTCACCAGCACGATAACCTGAAGGTCTTGAGCAGTAGCGAAGGCAGTTGAAAGCCAATTTGATGTTGTAACACACCAGCTGCTGACGAAGATATCATTCAATTTATTCCTTTGTCTATATGAACCTACTATTTATGCGAAATGAAAGGAACCAGTGGACAAAGAAATTGCGTTCTGGTTGCTTATTCTGGTTGGTTGTTTGTGGCGGCGTGAGAATCTTCCGCCTGAGCGTCTTGCTTATGGAGCATGAGATCCGAGTATGAAAACGAGTAGGCTTCGCCATACCCAACTCTGATTTGATTCGAAAGTGGTTTGTATGTTTTTAAGTCTGTGTCGCTGTGTAGTTAAACATATTGTTGGTGCGGCGGGTGTGTAGCGGGTTCTTGGGACAACGCCCTCTCTCCCTCCCTCACTTTGCATCCCCTACACGTCAAAGTTACATCTTCCAGACCTAGGCATTAGACACCAGGAAATACTGCCGTGTCTCTTCTCGTTTCAATTGACATATCTTCAGGCCTCGCGAGATGTCATGTTCGTCCTCTCAAGAGGACCGAATCACCAATTGTTGGCTTGAAGCGATTACAGGTTACTCCATCCCCGGCAGCGGGGTTCATGACGGACCGACTTTCATATTGAGTCCTGTGCACCTCAAGCGCAAGTCAACAGGTATGGACAACACCACGCCGGTGCCTAAGAGAGAGCGACTCAATGCCCTTGCTCTCACGCTCGCCCAGCGCCTCCAACGCTCAAATAGCGAAGGCACGCACAGTTCTACCACGACGACGTCCGCAAGTCGCAGCTCAAGCCCCTCCAAAAGAAAGCATGAGCCCCTCTTCCTGAGCCCCAGTGTCTCTTTCCAGGAAGAGGAGGCGCTTATCGCTCGACAAACAGACTTAGAGCTCGTAGTGCCATGTTTCAAATCACTAGTGTAGGCAGCACGGAGTGCGCAAGCCGCCTCTCAAGATCACTATAGGTGAGTTCTTCATTGTAAGCAGGATCCCCAGGTGTTGACCCGTTGGTGTAGGGTTCACTTCGTTCGCGCCTCGAACCTTCCAAGCTTAGCCTCTTTCCTCCTTTTTCCGATGACGACGATGTGGAAGTCTTCGCTAATCTTGCCTCGGAGACTACCATTCTGAGTTAAGATATCAGATTCTGCAGGGAAGAGGATCTGGCCGAAGATGAGTGGTGTGACAAGGTGGTCTACGGAATGCTGGAGGCGGCAGCAGGTAGGCTGGACAGTTCTGCGCGTGTTGAAGTGGCGAATTTGTCAGTTTCCACATATTCTCATCTACAACGAGTCACTTTGTACAGTAAAACAATTGAGATCTCGCGAGCGTCCCTGCTTCCCCCAAACGAGGGCATTCATGGACAAAGGAAAAAAAAATCGACTACACCACATGCTGCAAATTCCCTGATCGACGGTAAAGCTGTCGAAGTTCTTAATAATTACGACACTCCTTCCCGCAGTCAGTCGAACCATGATCGGCTTCGGAATCGCGTTCTGCCCTCCTCACGTTGAGGCAAACCGCCGGAAAAGCCCAAGAGACGGAGTTTCACACCTAACCGTCTGGACTGCAGCAAGGTTCAAAAAGCTCGATGAGCTACGTAGTCAATATCAGTATAATACCTGGGTGAGACAGGCCGCACAACCATTGTGGCTTTGGGAGGATGATGAACTCAAGCTCTATGTCGCGTTAATGGAGGGACCAGAAGAGATGATAATATATCCGCTGGCGGAAGGGCGGATGAAGCAGGACGCCCAACTGGCGAACGCGCTGATCTGCATCACAAAGTAATGCAATGGGGAACTAGCTGAATATCTTCGCTGGCACACAAAAGTAGTTGGATATTTTCATGACGTGGATAGTTCTAGGCTAGTGGGCTTCCCAAGTGCTAATTGGCCAATAGCCCATAACCTAGAATAAAGTGGCCGGATCCAACGCCCACACCAGAGGGGTACTCAATCGGCACTTTCTACGAGGTACTCGTTGACCACGTGATGCTTTGTGTTAAGTGTACATGGCTGACTTACAAAAGTCTTGATTTATTGCCAGGAGATTTAAGCATTGAGGATGCACCTGGGGTCGAAATGCAGGTCTGCTCAATGCTGACAATGCCACGAGGGCCACATGATTTGGTGCCGCGAGAATGCAGCACAATGATGGCATCTGTGATCAGTTTTATGCGAGCGATCTGGCGCGCGTAATCCGAGTCAAAACTTATGTAAGAGGGGGTTTGGTAGCGTTCAATAGGATACGCACCAATGGAAATGGGAGATATCAGTTACATGTTTGGAGATTTTCCTCACTCGAAAATGAAGGTTACGTCCCTGTCGTGGGAAAGCTTTCTCTAGCGATCAAATGTGTTCGCTTTCGGGAAATTCCCTGTGCGATAAGTCCAGGACGTGATAATAGGGTTCCTAGTCTCGTCAGTTTTATATTATTATTACCTGGAACCTGTTGCCTCGATGCGGTTAGTGTCTTGGCTAAGCTTCACCTTTTTGTCTCCAGCAAATCCTACACCGTCTTCCTTCACTTTCGACTCCGGCTTCTGGTGGGATGAAAACAATGTTGAACTCCTGTTGGCGACAAGACTTATTCTCAACAACAAACCGGTAAAATGAAGTTGCAGATGTAACCGCCCATGGTTTCCACCAAAGGCTCTCAATATATTCGCTACCTTGCTGCCTAGAAAACGGACTTGTGCGTCGCTAGTGCTGCCGTGGCGTACTCAACTACGATGGGCTCAAAATCGAACGGTGCAAAGTCAAGACTTTCGAAAATATGCCCAAGACCGTTTATCGAAGAACCTGTCATCGACTTGGACACTGAACAAAAGGCTTCGGCAACGTCATGGGCCGCACTATGCCTCTTTGTACTCTCGGTGGTCGGATCTGCGACGCAGCTTGTCGTTGCAGTTAACGCCTCGTGGTCAAGAGTCACTGCGGCGCTTTGGGTTGCTGCAGGGCTCCATGTTGCCTTATGGCGCCCCAGGACCGGCTCGATATTTCTTTTCGTCGACTTTGTGGCCATTCTAGCACTGGAAGTGGGCATAGTGGCGACTCATTTCTACGAAAACCTGGCTAGCAGGAACGCAGTGCTTACGTCCTGTGGTGCGGGACTCGCCGCCGCTGCCACTATGGTTGTTGTCAATATGCCACTTCGCGACCCAGCTTTGAGCTGCGTGGAGATTGGTCGTCCCTTCAGTACACCTTCTCATACATTGCGATCTCCTGAAGACAGCTTAACGCTACTACAATGGATGACGGTGTCCTGGTTGTCACCTCTGATTAAGATTGGAAATAGAAGACAGCTCCATGACGAAGATGTCTGGGCCCTCTCCTATGAGTTTCAACACCAACACCTTCACAACGCTTTCCGCGTGCTCAAGGGGACTGTTGTGAATCGTTTGCTGAAAGCAAACTGGATTGACCTGGTACTGCTCACAATCCTCGCCATCATAGAACTGGCCGCCAACTACTCCGCCCCCATGATTCTCCAAAAGCTTCTGCAGGTCATGGAAACGACGGCCGTTGACAAACGACTAGCAATCATGTACGCGATACTCACGCTTGTGGTCAGGGCGGTGGCTGCTCAGAGTGCAGTCTTTAGTCTGTGGTTTGGGAGACGTTGTTATGAAAGGTCCCGTGGCGAGATGATCACTATGTTATACGAAAAGACTTTGAATCGGAAAATCCTTGGCGGTTTGCCTCAAGAAGCTGGTGCTCAGATGGATTCTACCTTGGAAGGATCCACTGATTCCTCCGACATTAGAGAAGCGCGTCTTTTGCCTGAGCAAGCAGGAGTCGTCAGCGAGCAAGTCGAGCGATCAAAAAGCTTCGCGAGTCGCGCCAGAAAGGCAATTCAAAAAGCCAGAGCATTCCTTTCCAGAGAGAATCGCTCCAACACAACGAACTCACCGGCATCGATGGGAAAGATTCTCAACTTGATGCGGAATGATGTGTACGAAGTTGCTCAACGCTTCTGGGAATTTCAAAGTTTGATCAACAAACCGCTCGGTCTCGTGCTCTCCGTCTTTCTCCTCTGGCGGTTGCTTGGGTGGTCATGCTTTGTTGGCGTCGCAGTAGTTGTTATTGCACAGATTTTCAACTATATTCTCGCTCGCATCCTCATCGGCTGGGAGAGGGAACGGCGCAAAGTCACCGATATTAAACTGGAAAAGATCAGCCAGTATGTCGAGGCCATAAGGCATCTGCGGTGGTACGGATGGCACCTCACATGGCTTGATGGCGTCATTACCGCCCGGCAGCGAGAGCTCAACTTGAGGATCGTCACCTTTTTGTTGAATTCTGTCATCAGATTTCTGAACTCTTTCGCCAGTGGCATGCTCCCGGTCGCCACGTTCTATGCCTACACTATCGCAGCAGGTCAAGAGCTGCGCGTTGATATTGCTTTCCCAGCATTGCAGCTTTTTTCACTTCTGCAGAACAATATTCGAGAACTACCCACGTTGATCACAGTCTTACTGAATGCCTCGGTTGCAGTCGGACGGATCTCAGATTTCATTGCTGAACCCGACAAGATTGAAGAAGCATTGGTTCGAGAATATCTGGATGATCGGTTAGAACTACGCAATGCCTCATTTTCATGGCCTGGTCTTCCGGGGACAGTGCTTCATGGTCTCAGCCTCTCTTTTTGTCCAGGATTGACGGTCGTGTTCGGTCCGGTAGCATCAGGCAAGACTGCTCTGTTACAAGCTCTTCTCGGCGAACTTGATCTGCGTCAGGGGAAATTGATGAAGCCACAATCCCCGATCGGTTATTGTGCACAAACACCATGGCTGCAAAGCATGAGCATTCGGGAAAATATACTTTTTAATTCGCGATACGACGATAATCGGTATAAACAGACTTTGGAAGCATGTGCACTTATTCCGGATCTTGCCAATTTCAAACATGGTGATCTTTCCAATATTGGCGAGAACGGCATCGGTTTATCCGGCGGGCAGAAAGCCAGGGTTGCTCTTGCGAGAGCGGTGTACAGTCGAGCACAAATTCTGTTGCTTGATGACCCTCTCAGCGCCCTGGACCAACAAACTGCCGAATGGATTATCAAGAGGTGTTTATGTGGCAATTTGATGGATGGTCGTATCATCGTCCTTGTTACTCACCGGACCGATCTTTGTCAACATGTTGCATCACAACTAGTTGAGATCATCGACGGAACAGGTTTTCTGCATCGAAATGATGAGGAATTTTCGAAAGTCGAATCGCCTACAGCACCCGAAACAGAAACATTTGAAGCCGGGAACAGTGTCAAAACTATCGATGAATCTGCCGCGATACCGGAAAAATTCGTAGAAGACGAGCACCGAGTCCATGGTGGAGTCCAGTTTCAAGTTTATTGGGAATACATCAAGGCTGGAACGCTAAGATGGTGGTTTATGGTCGTCTTGACGGCCGTCGTTTGTCGCGTCACTTATGTGAGTGAAAGCTGGTTCCTCAAAGAATGGGGAGAAGCATACAACAAAGCCAAACTCCGGTTTCTGAGCCTCGAGAGCTTCGACCCCCAGGTGCATCTTCTTGAAAGTCCAATCTCAGGCTTGTTCGACGGGTTCCCCGACCCAGCGGTCAATGTCCGACCCTGGCTTTTCGGCCTTTTTATCATCGTAATCTGCGAGACCCTGGCCCTTATGCTTTCACAGATGTCCATGTTGGTCGTCACATACGCTGCTGCACGTCGAATGTTCAGAGTCGTCATGGATCGCATAAGTAACGCCAGCTTTTCTTTTTACGACGTGACGCCAGTGGGAAGGTTGATGAATCGATTAACCTCTGATATGGGAACCGTGGACGGTAATATCGCCGAGCTGTTTCTCATAGTTATCTGGTATGCCGTTGCTTGGATCTCCTCCATGATCGTCATTGCTAGCATTACACCAATTTTTCTGGCATTCGCTATCTCGCTCACGCTAGCATTTGTGCTTATCTTCCTACAATTCCTCCCGACTTCACAAAGCTTGAGGCGGTTAGAGATGGTTTCCCTGACTCCCTTGATGTCGAATTTCGGCGCTTTGCTGAATGGCCTGATGACCGTCAGGGCTTTCTGCGCACAATCACAATTCCAAGAAAGAAACATTCAGGTCACGGACGCATTCCAGAAGATGGACCATTTTTATTGGAGTTTGCAAGCCTGGCTGATGTACCGGTTCGACACATTGTCAGCAGTGTCCACATTCCTTCTGACCATGCTCGCAATTTTCTCAGACCTCTCGGCTGGCTTAACCGCATTCGTCTTGATCTCAGCAAACAAGTTTGTCCAGTCCACCCATGCAATTTGCAAATCGTATGGACAACTCCAACTCAACTTCGTGTCTGTCGAACGAGTGGTTGAATTAACTCATATCGAACAAGAAATGCCGAGTTCGGTTCAGCCGCCCGCGGCTTGGCCCACGTATGGGAGCGATGTCGTCTTTGAGGATGTCACCATTCGGTATCAGCCTCATCTGGAACCTGCACTAATAAATGTTTCGCTTCGCTTTAAGGGGGGATCAACCAATGCCATTACGGGTCGAACAGGTTCGGGGAAGTCAACTCTAGCAATGGCATTGCTAGCAACCATTACTCCCGAATCAGGCCGGATCCTGGTTGATGGCATCGACATTGCGAAAGTTGATAAACAGGCCCTGAGAAGCCGAATAACCTTCCTTGCACAAGAACCCATCCTCTTCCCTGGATCCTTGCGTCACAATCTTGATCCAATGAAGGAACACTCCGATCTCGCCTGCCAATCCGTACTATCAAGAGTCTGCGGGAAGTATGGGTGGACGCTCAAGACACAGGTTGACACAGGAGGAAAAAATTTGAGTCAGGGACAACGACAATTGGTGGGTCTCGCTCGAGCGATATTGCGGAGAAGCGCAATAGTCATCATGGACGAAGCCACGGCCAGCATCGACTTAGACACGTCTGCTCAGATACAGCGTGTATTAAGAGAGGAGTTGCAGCAAAGTACAATCATCACCATCGCTCATCGGACATCAGCTGTGGAAAACGCCGACTTTTGCGTCGTGCTTTCAGCTGGTGGTGTTTCCTACCGGGGCCCAACTGATGGGATTGGATTCTAACTCAAGAAGTGTGGGGCCCCAGGTCGAAGGTCGTTTGAATGTGCAAATAGAGATACACAAAAATAGATTGAGAAACAAATCGCTTAGGAGTGGTCGCGCAGTCACTGCGACATACCGACCCAGAACTTTCTGATCCTCGCCAGGAAGACGGCAAGCATGTGGCGTATCTGCATCATCCAGCTCTTATGCACAAAAATCGATATTACGTTCGTCCGTCTCGATTAGGGTGAGTGTTGGATCTGCGTACGTCGACGTCTCCGTGTAGTCCAGGGCACCGTAATGTAAATGAGGCTTTGATGCGTGACAATGGGAGGCACACATCTCTACGACACATCTCTTAAGGACTCAACACAGTATATCTTCAGGGACACTGACCAACGGATAAGTCGCTCGTTGACTGCGGCGGTTTCAGATGCGACGTATTCGGAAAATCGGTGCTGCCAGACGACATTGAAGGGAAGAACAACAGAACAAAGTTATGAGGAGGTATGCCACTCTCATTGATAAAGCTCGGGTCTACCCGTGCCCGAAACATTCGCAGGGATTGAAACTGAAACACGGGGTTGATGGACGGAGACGATGATGCATTATGGTTCCTGACATGGCGTTTGTTAGCTTCTCGCGGCTGGATGATGATCAATTTCAGAAGCTCTTTCTCAAGCATACGCTTCTGAAGATGTGTTAGATAGGTTCTCGAGGATTTCTGCCAAAAATAAAACATCGGTTATTGCAACGCATCCAGCTCAATGGTACATACAGGGTTTGGAATCATCCAGAAATTTAGGTGTTGTTGTTTCTTTTCCCCACGTGTTAGAATCTAGCCAATCGGAATCTCAACCTTGAAAGCACAACAGTTGTGAAAATGACGTTTCGAACTTCTTCACCTTCATCTACATCCTGAAAAGAGGTGTCTAAGCATCTTACACTTTTATCAAATCCGCAATTATTGTGATCAATGAATGATTTGTATTCTATGAAACCAATCTTTACTCAACTCTCGATCGAATAGACCTTCACTTCCTTCTGTATTGTGGCATCAAGCTCTGCCTTTTCTGCCACAATGTCGGACACTCCAAATTTCAGCGATGACAGCCGTGCAGCACGAGTTATTGCGGGTCATCTTCCTTCGGGATACACCGCCGACTTCGACGGCGTGCAAACTGACGGTGATTCACCAAGGGGACATGGAGAGCCGGAGCCGGAGTCCTCTCTCAAACTGCAAGGCGGCGACATACACCGCGATTTGTACAAAATTCAAAATCGGAACAGATTACAGCGAGCTGCTACCTTCTCGCATCCAAATGACACCTCCACCACAATGGAGAATGAGACATCGGTTTCCGAGCAACTTGTGCCAGGTGGCTTCCGGCGAGAGTTCGTTCGCCAGAAGTACGGTCGGTTCAATCCTGCAGTCATTCCCGTCACCAGGAATTTCGTGGAATTTCTGTCTCTTTACGGAGCCTTTGCTGGTGAAGACCTGGAAGACTCGGAGGACGAATCAGCGCTTGAGGATGAAGAAGGAGCGCCTTCAGAGACAAGACCACTTCTTCGCCGAAGGACTACCGTGGCCAAGAAAGGAGACGCCGGTATGACGAAAACCTTCTTTACCTTGCTCAAGGCATTCATCGGAACTGGAATCATGTTCTTGCCCAAGGCTTTCAACAATGGTGGCATCCTCTTCTCGTCGATGACACTGTTGACAGTTTCACTTGTGACGACATGGGCATTTCATCTCTTACTGCAATGTCGACAAGTCCACAAAAAGAGCGGCTATGGTGAGCTTGGTGAAGTGATTGGCGGACCCAGAATGAGGGCTATAATCCTCGGGTCGGTCACAATCTCGCAACTTGGATTTGTCTGTGCCGGAACAGTATTTGTCGCGCAAAATATGTATTCCTTCGAAAACGCTGTCACCGAAGGCCTGGCTCCCGTGTCGACCAATATCTTGATTGCCCTCCAACTGATCGCTTTGATTCCACTTGCGTTCATTCGCAACATCTCGAAGCTTGGTCCCGCGGCATTGGTGGCTGACGTTTTCATACTCCTCGGTGTCGCTTACATTTACTATTATGACATTTCCAGCCTGGCTGACCATGGACTCAACCGAACCGTTCAATTGTTCAACCCCCAGCACTACACCCTTACGATTGGATCAGCCATATTCACTTTTGAAGGCATCGGCCTCATCCTTCCTATTCAATCGTCCATGCGCGAGCCCGAGAAATTCGAGCCACTACTCTGGGCTATAATGCTTATTATTACTATCATCTTCACGTCCATAGGAGCACTCTGCTACGCAACTTTTGGCTCGGCAACCAAGATCGAAGTCATCTCCAATTTTCCTCAAGAGAGCAGACTTGTCAACGCCGTTCAACTTTTGTACGCCCTGGCCGTTATGGCCGGCACGCCAGTCCAACTATTTCCAGCCCTTCGAATTCTAGAGGGCAAGATATTTGGCCATCGCTCTGGCAAACGCGACACATCAATCAAATGGAAAAAGAATGGGTTCAGAACGGTGCTTGTTGTTGTTTGTGCTTTGGTGGCAATTTTGGGATCGGGCAACCTTGACATTTTTGTGAGCCTGATTGGTAGCCTATGTTGTGTTCCGCTTGTGTACATATACCCGCCTCTTCTGCACCACAAAGGCGTGGCGGATTCGAAATTGGCAAAAGCTGGGGATGTCGTGTTGATAATCCTGGGTGTCGTTTGTTTGATTTACACAGCTGTCGTCACTATTGTAACCAGCTTCATGCAGTAACTGGGGATCGGGGTATCGAAGCTTAGGTTCATTTGCCGGTGTTAAGAGAAAGTACTCGCAGGATTGATTGATTCCTTTCATCCACGTGTTCTTCCTCTGCTTGCATGCAGCAACGTTTGCTATGGAAATAAATCTTCCTCGGTTCCGATTCTCGCAAGGGAGAGATTACGTCAGGAGCGTTTGTTGGGCGCCTGGTCTTTTCAAGATATATTCATTTCAGACGGCTCATCCTCATAACGTGGTTGTAATTTCTCAGGATAAGCGTGGAGACTCGTACGTCTAATCCCTGGTGCTCTGGTGTCTGCCGAGGTTGACACGAGTTTCTGAGTAACTTTATCAGTCTTGTGATAAGCGGAGATTCCTGTAAGCCGTTCGTTCACACCATTGTCCCCCTACAAGAGCAGGAGAACTAAAGTGCGTCCAAAGGTATTGGTCAGGGGGTACAGTGGTGTGTGATGCCCCTGGTTCAAGTAGAGTTGGCCAAGAAAGGCGCAGAGAAGCCTTCGATGATTGAAATCAAGGCGTCATTGTCGATCACATCCCAAATTTTGTTCAAAGGAACCTGTTTCAAACCTCAAGTTGAAATTTGAAGTCAGAAAGTGCCAGGATCCTGACCTTCCAAGATTGTGGTGAACTCCGTTCGATCTGTCTGCCAGAGCTTGAGGCGCTCATCAAATCCTATTCTCCCTCCTGGGCCAGAATTCTACCGGGTAATTCAACGGTCGTAACTGAATACGGGGACTAGACGAGAGGGGTGTTAGCACTTCTTTGCTGTTCTCGTGAAAGTATGTAGACCATTCCTTGCATTGCCAAGGGTATACGTCTATATCCAGAAAAGGCTATCAAGGTTCGCCTTGAAAAAGGAGTGGTGGCTTTCTCCAAGATGATTGGCCAGGATTCTAATCGCGACGATGACACGCCAAGAGTATCTGCTCCTTTAATCTCAGACTTCCTTTGTGAAAAGTCGTCCTCCTACACACCTGCTGATCTCAAACATACCCGCCTGCACCTCTTCCTATCAGAACAGATACCATCCTTCCAGCAATGCAAACTTGTCGCAGTGAGTCTTCTGGATAGGTGCGTAGTGTCAGCCGCCAAAGGTCAAAAAGCAAAAGAAAAAACGTTGTGATCTACAACCCATGCTTCAACTTTTAAAGTAGGACAACAACGTGTGTGGGAAATTGCATATCGCGGGGGCGGGTTACCCTGAACAGAAGCTTCGGCCTGCAGACTCTTCAGCTAATCACCAAATCCACGATTAACATGACGATACCCAGAACATTGCAGAGGCTGAGCACGCGATTCACCGACATCCATAATAGTCGGCTCACCGATACCCGGACTTGGCCAAAACTTTAAGCTCTAGTCCTCAGACGATGGCTGAGGAACCTCATGCATATCTGACAGCTGCGCCCAGGCGTGGCTTGGACAAGGCTACGGGACAAGCCAGGATGCTGCTTCATCTGGGTGAGTAAGAAGAGATTACGCTAATTTTCCTTTCCCGGCATACGAGAGACCATGTCTTCTCGTGTTGGCGGGGGATACAAAAGCCTCTGGTTGTCTCTGGTCCAAAAGACACGTCCTTACCCTCCAAGTCACCCCCTTCAAAGCTACATATGAGCCGTCAGTCATTCGTTTTAACTCGCTCAAGTCACTCTTTTTAGTTCACTGTCTTGGTGCCGGGTTTGCTTCGCTTATCTCGCCTCGAGTCGATACTCACCGGGTTCATTCATCATGAAGTTCTTAAGCATTTTTGCGCCTATCCTACTGGCTTCCAACGTCGCTGCGCTTCCCGGCTGGAGAGATTGGCATGCTCGGGGTCCCAAATGCCCTGAGAGCACCTGCCTGACCCAAGCTGATGCCGATGACATTGTCGCCAAATTCGTCAGCATTCTTGATCACCCCGATATTGCTGCTTCGAACGCCACGGCCCAAGCATTGCTGGGAGACAACTTTTTCGAGAAGTCTGACTCGATCAATATGCTTGCTGGTCACCCGGTATGGATATGTCTTTAGCACCACTGGTTACTATGATTGATTTTAAATATAGATTGGCGCTGTCACATTTGCTGGTAAAGCCCAGTACATTCAAGGCGTTCTCCTCGCTCCTTCCATCACGAATATCACGACCCACAAGACCATGGTGGCGGGTTGCACCAACGTTCTATGGCACTGGAACATGGCAGGCATTGGAAGCAAGCAAATACCTGTCAATGGATTCAACCTCTTTGAGATCACTTCCGAGAAGCAGATCGCCGATATGTACGTCGAATTCAACAACATTGGCTGGGGCATCGACACTGGTTTCACGGTCTACAGTCGCAATGGCACCAAGCTTCCTTTGGCGTAGAGCAGCATATGACGGGTGGTGTGTGCTAGGTCTGAGACCGAATACTCTTCCTGATGGAGACCCCCACTGTCCACTCGCCGTGTTAGCACCGCTTTGTCTGAGTTCCTTCTCGGTTCTCTTCTCATCTCTGCGCCCGCCCCGCTGGCACCTGACATAGCTCACGTCCATATGGTTTGTCTCGATGTAGCCAGCTCTCTCTCTCTCTCTCTCTCTCTCTCTCTCTCTCTCTCTCTCTCTCTCTCTCTCTCTCTCTCTCTCCCTCGCTCCCTCTTCGTCTTCGCCAGTAAATTTCATTTCTCGGACTGCAGAGTTCTTACGCCTATCTTTGTATCCTTACGCCTCGCCGTGTATCCTTCCAGGATAGCGCCTCAGAGGATGCACCCTGCTCTTCACGGAAGCTGATGGGAGGGAATACGGGAATTAGACTAGAATTTCAGAATTTGAGTGCGTGCCTCGCGGACTGAGACTCACTTTGCAGGAGAAAATTCGATGCAGTCTTTCCGATTCTGTAATTTGGAGTGCACCGATCGCTCTTACAGCATATGTATGGGCCCGTGTTCAGCACGACCACTGCGTTACATGGCTGATATCGTGTGAACTCTACGTGGTATCTTGTCAGTCCAAGGCATTAAAGACGGCACGGGGCCTGCAAGAAACGAGGTAGACCGCCAACCTAACGGCAGATGATCCTCCCTTTGCTCCAACTCGATAGGATAGAGCATTTAGGTCCTGACCTGCACAACGATCTGCCCTTCATCCCCCAGGTCTTTCTCGACTTGAGTTCCAAACTGGTCACACAGCCTTCTGAATGTCTGCTCCACCCATTCATGATCTGGATCGTCTCTCTTCAATAAGCGTGCCTGGAACCGTTCGATTCTATTGGGATAGACCTCCAGCCTCTTTACCTCAAGCTCGCTTTCACCTTTGGTCTTTTCTGTTCTCTCCTCGACGGAAACCTTCCATATCGCACTCAAATCATTTCTGAAATTAGGCTCAATCGCATAATCGTCGACGAAGTCTCCACAGCCATAGACCACCAGCTTCCCTTTGTATATCTCGACGCCCTGAAAATGGTGGCTGCTGTGCCCATGAATTATGTCCACACCACACTCATCAATCATCCAATGCGCCAGGTCAACAATTTCCTTTGCGGGATGCCAGCGATAGTTTGGACCCCAGTGCATCGACACAACTTTCAAGCCGAGCCTTCCCTCTCCTCCGCCGGGACCTTTCGCCAGGAGCTGTCCTTTTATAATGTCCCTCCCTTTTCCCGTGTACTCGATGTAGTTGAAGGCATTCACGAGCTCCCACTCGCTCGGATGGTCTGCAAAACTCCAGCACTTAACATGCCAGCCGTCAGCGCCTCCGAGTTGCAGTGTGGCGGGTCTGTGAGCCTCTTCCTCTGTCCTTCCGGCCCCTGCAAACTCTATGCCATTATCGGCCAACGTCATGACGGTTTCTTGTAGACCCTCGACGGCCCAGTCTAGCGTATGGTTGTTCGCCAAGCTGACAAAGCCTCTTCTTGTCCTATCACCCATTCCCACCTCCGTCAAACACTGAACATTCCCAGGGTGAGTGCGGTAGTTGAACACTTTATTCGGCCACTTCTTCTCACTTTTCGTTACGGCTGTTTCCAGATTCGCAAGCACAAGATCCGACTTTCGAATCAACTCGGTACTGTTCCCCCACGGTGAGAGGTAGCCATATGATTTTAGTTGGGGGTAACGTAGAAGAATGTGCTTGTCAACTGTCAATGCGGCTGATTCGGGGTCAGAATGTGGCGACTGGCGAGCTATGCTGGTGGGCAGCAGAGCATCGATGAGACGACCGATCATTACGTCACCGAGAAGAAGAAGGCTATAAGTTTTAGAAGTGGTTGGCATGGTGAGGGTGAAGACTGCTTAAGTTGAGCAAGGAGCGAGACTCTTCCGCGACAATGTAAGAGCGTCCGCAAAAACACGGGCTCTTTGCGGGTTGATCAGTGATATTTCCTTGTGTCTGGGACCACTTTCAGGTGGTGCGTTAGATAGCGGGGTAATATGTAATATCTCAACTTATGGAGTCCTTCAATTTGCGCAGAGCGCATCACCCCACAGGGTTGAAGCTGCTCATTTTGACCGTGGTAAGAGGGAACAACAACAGTTTCCTCCTAGACCAGGTCTTCGTCGCAAGGACGCGCTAAGGTCAAATCGGGTGACTGAGGGGTGTGCCCATTTTACAGCCTAACGACGAACGCACATCGGAGGTATTAGGAATTTTTTCCCAGCTGACAATCCAACCTTACTCGATTTCGTGAATCGGCTTCACTCTTCTCAAGTCTTCAACAATGATTGTCCTGAAAGAGCGTGATGTACACTCTCTACTCTCCAATATTTCGGTCCCAGAATGCAAACGTCTCCGTACCGACTTGCACGACATTCTCCGAGCATACTCTTCTACCAAAAATGTCTCGTCATCCGAACAAACGATTCATCAACCGGAGAGGGTATCAATCGTCACAAGAACCGGTAACACCTCGCTCTTCATGCCATCTTCCATCACAACTTCGACAGGCATTAAGACCGTGACCATTAGTCCCAAGGGGCTCAAAGGCTGTGTGAACGTCTTTGCGCCGGATGGAGAACTCCTAGGCATATTAAACGCCGAGGAAGTCACTGCATTCCGGACCTCTCTGGCGGTCATGATCCCTTATATCCTGTGGCCAAATACGAAGAGAAACATTGTGGTATTTGGGGCTGGTCGACAAGCAGAGTGGCACTTGAAACTTGCTCTGCTGCTCGGCAACGCCATGCATGTCACCGTGGTGAACAGGAGCAGCCCTCGAAGGATGGAGCAACTCTTCGCCGAGCTGCAACGGGAGAATGCCGACCTTGTTTGTCGGGTGCTGCTGAAGACGGCCGAGGATTTCGATTCGCAGCTACAAGAATGTCTTCTGTCCTCGGATGTCATTTTCTGCTGCACACCGTCAACTACACCGCATTTCCCATTCAGCTACCTTGATACCAAGCCTCGCTTCATCTCGCTCATAGGATCCTACAAGCCGTCAATGCAGGAGATTGATTCCGAAACTCTTCTGTCCGGTGGAGACATCTATGTGGACACAAAAGAAGGATGTCTCATTGAGGCCGGGGAACTAATCAAGGCCAAGGTCCAAGGAGATAAGTTGATTGAGATTGGGGAATTGCACAAGACGAAACCCTTAAAAAACCAAGGGAAAAATGTCATCTTCAAATGTGTGGGCATGGGTATTATGGACTTAGTTATGGCAGGTAGTCTGCTGAGGATGGCTATGGAGAAAGGCACGGGCTTGATAGTTGAAGACTTCTGAATTCGAGAAGGACACTCTCGTTCGATAAGCTGTGGAACACCTCCCGCCATAGCCTCTTACTGGGAAGTGGCTTTTAAACACCGTCTCCAAAAGCATAATCGTTCGCCCATCGGGTATCCCATGGACGAGACTTATTGACAAACCTTAGGTCTGTGCCCAGTCGAATCCTGTTTTCTGGATCGTGATTGATGGTCGAGGCATGGATCTGCATCTGAAGTCAGCAAAGATGGATTGCGGAGGGGTTTCGTTCGTACAGCATATGCGTTGTGAAGCACGACATCACCAGCCTCGTATGCCGTAAGCAGCCAACGACGGTTCCACTGCTTCCCAAATTCCGCAGGGCCATCTGCCAGCAGGCCTCCACCCATCATATTCTGGTTGAAAGCACTCTTTGCTTCTTCATCCGTCAATCCTGAAGCCTTGGCTTTGGTGGTGAAGTTATGTTCAATCTCGGCACCAAGGGTGTGGCCCTTGTCGAGATAAATCAAGCCGCCACCCTGCCTTGAGATATCTCCCATCGGTACCCAGGCAGTGACTGCAGTGTCCTCCCCATGTCTCAAGAAAATCTGGTCATAGTGTACTCCAATTGCCTTGTTTCCTGGAGTATTGTTCCGTAGGAGCGTCCTTCTGATTCCCAATGTATCATCACCCCAACCTGTAAGCTTCGCAACATAGTCGCGCAATGCTGGATGTTTGCAAAAATCCTCTTTGTACCAATCCTCAGTATGCGCCTGAAGAGCTAGGTCAACAAACAATGTAGCCACTTCGGGATGCGGCCCAGTGGGGCGCCCGTTGGAATCTGCAAACCCTGCTCCAATTCCGGGGAAATCGAGCTTGTCTTTGGTCTCGTCGAAGATGCCATCAACGGGCTTGGTGCCAGGTCTGAGAACACCGCTGGGGGACAAAAGTTTGAAATATTCCTCTCTGGCCCTGAGGACATCCCTTCTTGGTAATAGGCCTTTTATGAAGAGGTATCCGTCGTCTTGAAACCGCCTCCGAGCTTCTTCGATCGGAGTATCCAGCGTTGTCGCCCGCAAAACACCATATTGGTCGGGGGTCAAAGGTCCATCATTAACGAAGAATTGTTCTCCTGATGTTATTTGAGTGTTGGGTGCCTCTGCATGGGGCATTTTCGCAAGGCAAGGATCTTAGGGTGAACAGCTTCAGGTGACCGTTCGAACGAGATGGTGAGAAGAATGAAAATGTAGGGATGTCGGCTCCAGTAAGTCAAAATATAGATTTCGACGCGACGCCATGGCTGGTTGAACCACACGAGTCGCCCATAATCTCTTGCTCGCGCCACCTGGTCTCCTTTGCCACGAGGATCGACACCGGGAAACTCCCAATTGGGGCGATGGGGGAGTCGAGGTTTCAAGAAAGGAAGTCTCGGCCCGACAGCACTGGAAGCGATTGTGCACGGACAGAATAGGAAAAGAACCCCGAAGGCGCAGTTCCCCACAGTTAGGACTTCTCCGGATGTCTGTCTGGCTTGTCTTCCTTTCTCGCATTCAACCGAAATGTCCTGTGATATCTGTCGCAAGAAGCATACCAGATGTGCGACTCTCCCTTTCTTGCAGTCCCGTGGTTTCCCAGCATACTTCTGACATCCTTCAGGTGACGGCCAGCATCCGCGATGTGGGCCTTGCATAAAGGCTGGCCGGCAATGCGTCCGCAATGCAACGCCCTATCGACGCGTTTCGAGGCCACGAGGTTTCAGTACACAACAGGTTTGGGTGCCTATTCCTCCGAAAGGTAGATGACGAGTCCCTTAATTTATTCATGGGACACTAATGTTTGCAGTCGATTTTGTAGTTGAGGAACCTGCGCTGCGACATTCCAGGGTTGAAGGCAATCCCTCCAGCGAGAGTTCTGTTCAGCAGGAATCCGTTAAGGAGCCACAGCCTCGTGAGCTGTCAAGAGATGTGCCATTGCATGATGTATCATTGTTGCTGGCTGGACATGCCTTGTCTGGTGCGCATGTCAAGCCACCACTGTGTCGAACACTGAGAGAACCTGAGGATAACTCAATCTTCTGGACCAGAGAATCAGCCGAATTGATGAGATACTTCATCGATAATTGTGCTTGTTTCTTTGACTTCAGCGACGCCAAGAGACACTTTGCCTACGAGGTTCCGCTGAGAGCTCGCCAAAATGCAACATTAGCCAATGCTATGCTGGCACTGGCTGCTCGGCACCGAAGTCGGGCAGACGCATCTGAAACCTTTGCAGCCGATCAATATTACAACGCGTGTCTTCAAACGATGATACCAAGGCTTGGAGATAAGTCTGCGATCGAAGACGACGAGCTTCTTGCAGCCATAGTCATTCTGAGACTATTGGAAGAAATGGACGGTCAGTGTGTCAGGATGTCGTTTGGCTCTCATATTGACTGTCAAATAGTACCGATAGTGGGATCAGATCATCAGAAACACCTCTTCGGGACCCAAGCAATTATCACGGCGTCGCAGTCTCGCTCGGAAATACCAGTAACAGCATTGAGAAGAGCGTGTTATTGGGCGGCCTTTCGCCAGGAAATATTCATGTCTCTCACTGCGCAACGACCGTTCAATCTTATTCTACCTGATATGGAGCCGCCTACAAGTCCTTCTGACGATTGGTCGTGGACACTTCAAGCGACGTATCAGTGTGGCAAGGTAGAATCTTTCGTCTTTGGCGAGGAGTCTGTGACCATGTCAAGGTATCTTGAATTGATGGATGATATCGAGACGTGGCAAAGAGAGCGTCCGGTCTCATTTGACCCTGTATACCAGGAGACTGGTAGGCTTGAGAACTCCTTTCCAGATATCCAAATTCATATGGATTGTCACGGTGAGTGCTAAAACGACCAAAACGGAGGAAAAGATTTTGATGACACTTTTGCAGTGATGGGTTGGCAATACATCACAATGGCACATCTGTTGCTCAATGTCCACTGTCCATTGCCCCGCGTCGGCCCGGCTCACAAGCTAACGATGACGGACATGGAAAAGGTCATTCAAAAGGACGTCAGGACATTGTGTGGAATAGCTCAGTCAAATCCACACACCCCTCCGGCGAGTCTTGTGGCCTGCATGGCTATTGCACTGTGCAAGTGTGCTTCTCTGGCATTGTGTAGTAGACCGCTGACGTTTTACAGTCGGGGATCGTTTCGATTCCAGGTCCGAGCAGGGGCTTCTGAGAGATCTTCTCGTTCGAACAGAGCTCCGCACAGGGTGGCCAACTTGCATGGCACGGGAACAGCTCGAACGGACGTGGAATTCAACATGAAAGACCCCGCACCACCCAAATTGACACGAGGAGAGTTTGGGGACCCGATGTTTGCGTCGGAGGCTAACTATTTTGGAATCATTTCCGGTTAGTAACTCCGATGATCGACCTTGCGATGTGCAGAAGACACAGCATAGCTGGATGGACAACTCCACATTGAGAAGTACCCCGAGAATTCTTGACAACGGTTCGGATCCAGTGTATAAGAACTCTCTGCTTGCTTGTCTTCATCCTGGACACCTTCTCCAAACTGGCAATCTTCTTTACTTTCATGAGCGCTGGTGCATTTCAAAGATGCTATCAATAAAGCAGACCAAAATCATCGAGCGTCCACTGACCTATGATGCTAGCAATCCCCGTCCTGCAAACCTCCGATACGTCTACCTTCTGACTGCTTTCGTGTCATTGGGTGCTCTTCTGTTCGGTTATGACCAGGGTGTAATGGGGATCATAGTTGCGGATAATCGTTGGATGCATCTTATGAAACCAGCCAATTCCTGGGTCACTGGTGCTGTCGTGTCGCTATACGACATAGGGTGCTTTCTGGGGGCGATGAGCATTGGATACCTGGCAGATCAATGTGGCCGAGAACGAACCTTGTCTATTGCCAGCACCGTGTTCTGCATTGGAGCCGTGATTCAGGCTGCGTCTTATGACATTCCGACCATCACCATTGGACGCGTCATACTTGGATACGGAGTAGGAGCGTGTGCCGCCGGTGTGCCACTTTACGTTTCAGAGATTGCTCCAGCGGGTTTGCGCGGCCGAATAATTGGTATCGAGCAGATGATCCTGTGCTTTGGGGAGCTGATCGCCTTTTGGCTAGATTACGGCTTTGCATATCTGGACACTTCTGACTGGTGGCGCATCCCTTTGGCCATCCAGATCCTTCCCGCTGCTGTCCTGGCAGTCGGGTGCTGGTCTTGGGTTCCTCCGAGCCCGCGCTGGCTTGTGCAACAAGATCGACATACATGCGCGCGAGAGGTGCTTGCGAGGCTTCACGGCGACCAAGCCGCGGAAATCGAAATACAAGAAATTGCCGAAAGAGTGGCCTTTGAGAAGACGGTTGCGGTCACTACCTGGAGAGACATGTTCACATGGCCCGTCCTGCGTGTCACACTAGTCGGCACCGGTGTGCAATTCTTCCAGCAGATAACAGGCACCAATTCCATTGTAAGATCCTGACCCTGTCATAGCGAGTGTCAACAAGAGAGATAACTGACATTATGAGCACTGCAGCTATATTATACTCCAAGTCTGTACGAGCGTGGCGGGATCACCTCTGCCCATACACGCAACTTGGCGACGGGGGGTGTCGGAATTGTCTTGTTCGTCTTCGCTTGGATTCCCATTTTTGTTTTCGACAGACTCGGACGAAAGACTTGGCTTCAAATCGGTGTCATCGGAATGATGGGTGCGATGATTGGGATCACAGGTAAGGTACTCTATAAGCTTCCCGGACTGTGTAACGCTGATGGCAACAAGTCCTCCAGTGGCACGCGGGGAAATACCCGGGTGCGAAGGGCAATTATGCAATTGTCGTGTTCCCGTATTTGTTCTATGTCTTTTTCAACATCAGTTGGGGAGTCGGCAGTTGGACGTATGCCAGCGAGATATGGCCGGTTGCGTTGCGGGCGAAGGGAAACGCGTTGAGCACCATGAGCTTGTGGGCAGGATGTTATATCGTTGCGCAGGCCAGTCCTCCAGTCGGAGACGCGATTGGCTGGGGCTTGTACATCATCTACTCTGGGATTTGTGTGCTGGCATTCTTCTTTGTCCGGTACACCATGGTTGAAACGCGAGGGCGTTCCTTAGAGGAAATGAGCCGACTCTTTGGGCTTGAGGACAAGTTCGCAGCAAGGGGAGGGATCGACCCCGCAACGGCATCTGAGTCGAAGAATGGCGACATTGTGCATGAGCAGGTGGAGGAAGTGGACAAGTAGACGCCAATCATATAGTGCCGAGCCCAGGAGAGGTGGCGTGGGTGGCAAGTAGAGCTCGAGGGCGACTCGCTGCAAGGCTGAGATTCAAGATGCGGGGGCAGCCGACAGAGGCGAGGACGCCTTGCCCTATCAAGGCAATTTTGGCCGAAGGTCGGGGATTCCAAGTCTATCATGAGAGTGCTCGGTGGCAGGACGTATAAAAACAATTAAATTCCCTTCAACGGCCATCAGCAACCATGACTTGTCTTCTTCCTTTCCAATCTAAACCGTCCAGTTCTGGATTACCGCTTTCGTTTCCTGGACAGCATGACCGTCCTTGTCGGTCTGGCTTGTCGAACACTACGCCTTACAACCATGGGCAGCCCACGAACGTTTTCGATAGCAAAGCCACTCCTGGCACAGCCTTTATCCATACAGGCCTCATTGACGGAGAGATCTCAGGGCAAACTTAGTGAACAGAGCCTCGAGAAGGCAATCAGACAAGTCCACCATGACGGACTTGTTATCATTCAAAATGCCATTGACACTGATGTTCTGCGCCAATTGAATGAAAAAATGGTGAAGGATGCATTGGAATTGCGGTCCAAGGGGGACAAGAGCCCGTTCAACTATAACCAGGGAAACCTGCAACAGGATGCGCCTCCCGTAAAGGAATACTTCCATCCAGAAATATTTCTGAGTGAGTCGGGGCATCCAATCTTCAGCGAATTCTGATTGACATGCGGCACACCAGATCCAATTGCCACTCAGATAACATCGGCCGTGCTTGGTCCCCGTCCAAAACTGACCTTTTGCTCTGGTAACTCGGCCATGCCACCCAAACCAGGCTCTCCTGCCGAGAGGCAACCAGTCCACTCGGATGCGGATTTCGCACATCCTGACCACCCCTTTGCACTGGTGGTCAACGTTCCGCTGATTGATATAAGGCCGGAGAATGGGTCCACTGAAGTTTGGCTGGGCACCCATAAGAATTTCGGCATCGAGGCACAGGAAGGGGCACACGGCGAGCGAGCCTCGGGGAGAATTCGTGCTCCGTTGTTGGCAGAAAGGTCGAGAACGAACCCGCCCCTCCAGCCATACGTTCCTAGCGGCAGCATCATCATCCGTGACCTGAGACTCTGGCACGCTGGCATGCCAAACACAACTTCGGACGTGAGAATCATGCTGGCGATGAGTATGCAACCTCCTTTCCCTTACAAGCGCTCCGACTAATCAGTGACAGTCCATTTTGCTCCTTGGTATCGTAATCAAATGAGGTTGGAGCTTGCTGAAGAGATAAAACCGCTGGTAGAGAGTGTTCGGGATCTTGATATCAGAGCGGACTTCGTAAGCGAAGATGAGGCGTTGAAAAGATACCTCAACCGAGGGTTTGGGAACAGCTACGACTTTGGGCAAAGTTCATAGGCATAGATTGGCACGGTTGTTCTTGGAGCCCGAGGACCCTAGAACCATTAGAAGTCGGTGCAAAATTCCATGCATTTATTGAGAACATACTGCTCAGAGCTGGGTGCCACGCACTTGTAGAGCGATAAACGCGCTGCCAACATGCCTATGTCATTGTAGGACACCTTCCCGATTACACCGAGGAAGATCTTCGCCGTGGACAACTTGCAGAGACGACGGTGATTGCTTAGTTCCGGCTAGGGTCTATGATATAGATCCACAAGCTTGGCTGGAGCAAACCCCAGCTATCTTACAAAAACTTCTCCAGTGCTCCTCATCCCGCAAATTCGGTTCTTTCCCTCTGGTGGGCACGTCAATCTCCGGACACCGAAATTGATCTGCTACTCGAACATTTATTCATCAATTGAGAAGCATGGCCAAAATACCAAGCAAAAATTGTGAGGCTCATTCCCTTCCTATTCCCACTGATGCTCATGTCTGATCTTGAACAAAGCATGGTGAGCGCAGTATTGTTCGACTTGCGGCAAATGCTCATGATCCTGTTGTAGTAGAACGTGTCGGCTTCGAAAATTGAAATGTAAGTGACTTCTTCTTTGCAGCTAGTAGCTAACTGTGAAGTAAGGCGACGAGAAGTTGCCTACGTGTTCCCGCTGCGAAAGAAGCGGCCGCTGGTGTGATCGTACAGCGCCATTGAAGATCCAAGGCCAGAAGAATGTCAGCAGGCGAGCGAATGGAGACAAGAGTACAGACAGCAAAGAACAGACTTCTATTGAGCGATATGACGAGCCTCGCGTACGGCTTAAGAACGAGGAGATCGCCCACTACTTTGCACACTATCTCAAAACCCTAGCTCCGTGGTATGACCTTAACGACCTCGGACAAGCCTTCCGACGAATCGTGGGAAGCAGAGCCCAGCAGAGCTCCTTGCTTCTTAGTGCCGTCATTGCATTCGCAGCAATACATAAAAGTCGAACGTCTCACGCCGTTCCCAAGTCGTTGGCAGAGAGACACCACGCCCACTGCTTGCGGCTCCTGATCGGACTCACTGAGACGGCCCAGGCCATTAAAGACGGGACAGCCTTGGCCGCGACATGTCTGCTGCGGTCGTATGAAATTCTAGCAGGTGAGCAGAAGAATCTTCAAGTTGATATTGGCTGATCCGCATCAGAGGAAGAAGATCCCAATCGCCATCTTTTCGGGGCATTCTCATTGATACCGTCTTTGGCTTGTAGCCTGCCAGAGGAACCACTGCTCAAGGCCGGTTTATGGAATTACCTCCGCGAAGATATCACCTTCTCCCTCATCAATCACTGTCCGTTGAAAATCGAAGTCGGGGCAATAGATATCGAACTGTGTCGCGACGACGACTATGCGAACCAAATCACGATCCTGTTGGCCCGTGTCTTCAACGGGGCTTTTGCGGGTAGTGCGGAGCTTCTTGTCAACTTACAGTCAGCCATCAGTGCTTGGAGTTTGTCTATACCATTTCAACCTTACCATGAGTCCCTCGAAGGTATACTGCCAAAGATCCAGATGGTCGACGATTGCCACGGTGAGTCGGTCCACGGCGTTTTCGTTCCTCATTTAACGAGATCTAGTCGCTGCAATGCAATATTGGCACGTTGCCCAGATCCTGCTGGGTCTGAACACAGGAAGTCCTGTGGACTTCGAAGCACACGCCCGGACCATATGCGGGATGACATTTGCCGCCAAGAGTGACCCTGTTGTTGTAAACTCGTATGGTCCAATCTGCTATAGTGAGCCTTTGGATGGTAATAGTTGGGAGAACGAGGCTGATCTTTGACCATCTAGGCGCACAGTGGCTGTCGAGAGACGATGCTAGACGAGAATTAGTCAACCATCTTCTGGACAGTCAAAAGAGGACTGGGTGGCCCGTTCAAGCCATAATCAAGAAGCTGAAGCATAGTTGGGCCGGTGAGGTGGAGAGATAACTTTGCCAACGCGCCGCACGGACCAGGGATCCTGTCATTCCCGTTATTCCACGACCATTGCTTCTGCCATGAGCAGCTCCTCGTCAGCAATAACCTGATCAAACTCGTCCATTTCAACGACATGACCATTGGTACCGTTCCGCGCTGGAGCGCCATTGACCTCACTGTGCATGTAATCGTGCATTGTTGCGTCTTCTCTTCCCATATCGCCTTCGCCTCGCCTTGCTTGTTGCTCTTTTTGGAAGTTCTCTAGCTCCTTTAGATCCCAGCTGTCTTTACCTTTGGTCGAGCCATCAGGTAATTTCTGCCCAGGTCCCAGAGGCTGGGCTATACTTCTCAAGAACTTCTTTGCCATCCCCACAGCAGCATCGGTGCTCAATCCGGTCTGAGCATCAGTGATTTCTTCCGCGATCCATCGAGGCAGTTGAGTTCGTTTCTTCTGAAATCGGCGGTCGGCCAAAACCATGATACCGTAATCGTCTTTCCCACGCAAGACTCGCCCGAGGCATTGGGCAGCGTGTCGCATAGCGTCGAAAGACAAGAAGTCTTGTTCTTTGATTCTGTAGTTCTCTCGCAGAAACTCTAGACGTGCCTTTAGGATCCTCGATTCTGTGTACTGGAAAGGCGCACCCATACACAGCACAGTACGCCCATAATGATGATCAAAATCGATTCCTTCAGACACTTTGCCACGAGCGACACAAAGCAATATTGCGCCTTTGCCATTTTCACATGCAGTGCGGTAGGTCTCCAATGCCAGACTAGTCTCCTGGGCGTCTGGCGTCTCAACCAGAATCAGCTTGTAGGGCCAGATTTGATCCAGAATACCCATCCCCTGCCACATACTGATGATCATTTCCATGTAAAGATAAGAAGGAAAGAAGACAACGATGCCATCCGGTGTAATCTTTGCAAATTCATAAAGTAAAGCCCCATAATTGCGTACCACGCCTGGATCAGACCGAGACTGAAAGCCAGATGTTATAGACTGCTGATCAGAACCACGGGTGACGATCATTGGGAGGAAAGATCGCCTCGCAAGTGACATTGGGTATGATTCCTGTGTGACGGTGCTGAAGTTGAGCATTCTCGGGTACATCTCCAAAGGCGAAATGGTTCCAGAAGTGATGATAACAGAAGAAAACCGTTCGAAGACCGGTTTGATCGCGATCGAGGCATCAAGGCATGCGAAGTGCAAAATCGGGTTGGGGACTGTCGCTTGTTCGGTCTCGAAAGGCTCCAAGATCAGTAGGAACCCGGTCTCGTAGGTTGCCACAAGAGTGGCAAACGTCGCCACTTCTTGCAATGGCTGGTAGTCTTCGATATTCGTCAATTCCAAAGTGCGGACAAGGGATGTCAGTCGTTCGGCACAAAATCGCAGTGGCTTGCGTTCAATGAACGTCAACTCTTTGAGATGCGCGAGGAATGAGGGAGCGGTTTCCTGGATGACGTATAGGACTTTCATTCGAGTCTTGAGGTATTCGATAAAGCGTTTGAGAAAAGCCACGAAATGCTCAGCTCGACGGATATTGCCAGGCACGGCTTCCTTCAATAAATCGTCGGGCAAGGTGGGATTAGCCATGAAAGCATCCTCTGCTCGTGCTTCGTCTGCTTCTCTCAGGCCTTCCACGAGCTTCTGGTATTCATTCTGAAGCTTTTCTTCGTCGGACGCCTTCATCTCTTCAATCTTTCGTTCCAAGTTGTTTGCTCCGCGAGTGGCCTTCCTTAGCGAGTCCTCAGTTAAGTCGATGGACAATGACTCGATACAGACGTTGTCAATATTGTGGGCTTCATCGAAGACGACTATACAATCCTTTGAGAGCTCTTTCGAGACACGTTCCGCAATTTTGGGATCGAGTAGATAATGGTAGGAGTAGATGATGACGTTGCAAAAGGGCATCATGCGTCGAGCGGAGAAGTAGGGGCACTGCTTATGATCTTCACCATACCTTATGAGTTCATCGAGTGTGAATACCCCAGGAGGGACCAGGTTATGGGGCTCGAGGAGATCCAGATTATCATGATAGACACAGACCTCGACATCCTCTCCTCGCTCCTTCTTCTCTCTGACAAAGCCGGCTGTGAGACTGCGACATCTCGCATCAACGACAGCACCGCTTTTCTCCCTCTTGACGGAGGGATGTAGGCACAAATTCTTTCTGCTGGTCAAGCCCAAACCTCGAAAGTCTTCAATGAAACCGAGCTCCTTTGCCCGATATTTCATCAGAGCTCTCAACTCAGCCAGGGCCTTCTCGATTTCCGACATTGTACGGGAGCAGTAGATGAGCTTGCGATGTTCGGGGTAGTGTTGTTGGTATGCCACAATGAGGGACAATAGCGAAACGGTCTTGCCGGTTCCAGAAGGCATTTCAAGAACGCAGTGACCCCCAGCATCGAGGGTCCTTTTAAGGTCGCACATGTACGCATACTGTTCGGGGTAAATTCGAGGGTAAGGGAAAAGGACAGGAAGATCGCTAGTCACCGTTAGAAACGCTGTAATTAGAGGGAGGGAAGAAGACGACGGTACTCAATAAAGAACTTCATGTTGAGAGCGCGGTTTTGATCGGCCAGCACCGCTAGGTATCCGTCTCAGTTGAGCGCCTCTGTTGCGCTTAATCTCATTGCAACATATCAGAACCGCGACTAAATTAGAACAAGCAAATTGAACAGCGAAAAAGTGACAACGTGGTGGTTGTTGAAATTTCGGTCTACCTTTCCACCATATGCCCACGCCAACCACGGTGGAACGCGTCGAGGCGATTAGGCACAGACGGGCAGGCAACAGACCCGGACAGCGCAGGTGGCGCGAGATTAGGAGCGACGTCATATAGTCAATCTTTATATTCAGAATTTTACTATCACCCCGCGAGGCTGCCACCATTGCATTTGTTCCCTCTCAAGCAGCAAGTTCCAGGAGGACGACCACGGCAGCATGAGCAAGAAGTTCAAGCCACAGGCCACCGCGTCGAGCGCTCGTGCTGCTTCTGCTGCCTTTGGATCGTCCTCGTCCCCCGCCTTCGGCTTCAGCGCGCCGTCTCTGGGATTTCAGACTGCGCCCTCTTCGCTATCATACATCGCTGAACAGCCAGATCTCAGCATTGTCTCGAATCCGAACCTGGTTGTCTCCCTTCGAAACCTTGGCAAGAAGGACAGCACTACCAAAGCCAAAGCACTTGAAGAGCTACAAGATTATATAACCTCGTTGACCTCGGGCGACAACATTGATTCTGGCCTACTGGAAGCATGGGTTCGCAGTTCGCTTTTTAATTTTGAGTGCGCACTAACTGTCCACGTAGGTCAATCTATACCCAAGGACCTCGATCGACAATGCGCGTAGAGTCCGCCAACTCGCACACGCCCTGCAAGGCTCCCTCACTGCACTCGCTGGTAAACGAGTGGCACCTCGACTTGCACGGGTGATCGGAGCATGGCTTTCTGGCTGCTATGATAGTGACAGGCTGGTGGCCCGGACTGCACAAGAATCGGTGGCGGCTGCATTTGTCACAGAGGACAAGAGGCGGGCGCTGTGGAAAGTTTACAGGAACACCCTTCTTGACTATGCCAACGACGCCATACTGGTCCAGACACCCCAAACATTGAGCGATGAACGGTCGACCACACCAGATGACTCAGAGGCAAAGTTTGTCCGGGTATCTGGAAATGCTATGCAAATGCTCAGCCAGACTGTCAAGATCAACTTCGACCAGAAATCGGGGCCCGTCAAGTCTGACATCTCTGAACGTCTCGGAAGGATTGTGTTGGACAAGAGACTTTGGGAATACTCATCTCACGATGATCCTACCCTTCGAAGAGCTGTCTGCAACCTTGCCAGCATATGTGCAGATGTAATCCCTGGACAGCTGGACTGGAAAATCATAAGTGCTTGCTTTATTGGCAAAGCTATGCAAAGCAGCCAACTCGGCTCATCTCGTCAACTGTCAGAAGCGCTTCTGACACTGACCTCTGTCCGGCCAGAGGTGTGGACCACAGATTATTCGTCGAAATCAGTGGCATCCACAAGACTGTTCCAGTACCTGCGCAAAGGCTCACAGCGAGGTCCGGCAGATTTCTGGAATGATGTCGCGTTGCTCCTCAAGAAGATTCCAGTCGAGGCCTGGAGCACCGTTTTCAGCGATGGCAAAGCCCACATTAATGACGCCACAACATTGCTTGAGTCCTTACGGATGGGCATTACCAACCGTGAAGAACCTCGTCAAAATCTCGAGGCTGCCTGGTCCGTTTATGTCGATTTCTCCTTCTGGGTAACCCACCTGTTAGGAGATGACCAGTCCAGAGCCTTGCTGTTGGAAGAGAATGTCTTGCCGTTGGTGAAGCAATATATCATTCAAGATCCCAAGCAAAACTCTTGGGACATGCCGCGTACATGCAACATCACGATAACTGCTTGGGTACTCATAAGTCTCATCCGCTGCGATTGCTACTCCGCGTTCAAGAATGCATGGGCCAGTTTCTGTGAGCAACTCAGTACTAGCATGAAACTATCTCTGCCTGAAAGCTCGAAAGATTTTGCGAAATCGCAGGACGGCGTGGTGGCGCAAGCTCGACGGATGTTCCGCCTCAAGCCCCTTGTTCTCGGTGCTGAGTGTCTATCGCCGGCCGGGAAGGCACATGCAGCGGCCGTGTTTGAAGAATGTGATAACTCCTTATTGGATGCTGCTTTGAAGCTCTTAAAAGCTCGTAATGGTAAGCCATTCGGAGCAGCCGCTGTTCTAGAGGAAGTCACTTCTGCTATGGAGACAATCAGCTCCAATCCGTTGGGAGAATTCCTAGACTCAGATGCGGTGGACCTTCTCACTAGCCCTTCCGCAGAGTACCTGTCATTGGTCTTGCTGCATTTCCATCGTAACCTGGCGCAAGCATTCACAAAACTGATGGGCGCAGAAACGAGTGCTAGCGCCAAAGCACTTGCACGACTTCTGGAGGAGGCTTCCGAAGATGATCTGTTACAGAGTCCTGAAATCGAGTCTTTCATTATACGCGAGATATCATCACGACTGGAAGATGGCTTTGCAAAAGATATCGTGAGAAGTTTGTTGATGAATGCCAAACTTGTTCAATCCCATTTGCATAGGACATGTTGCCAAACGATTCTGGTTCAGCTATCGCCAGGCGCCGATCCAGCCTCGCAGCTTGCAGTTCTTCGTTTCTTGCTCGAGATCTTCGGTGACCATCGGTCAGCGTCTTCATTCTTCTCAGCGAACATGGAAAGCATGATCCTTGCGAAGCTTCTCGTTCTTTCAGATTCCGACAACTCGGAAACAGGTGAACTTGCGACCTCGCTTATCACCAAAATCAAAACTTTACCTAGTGGAGCATCATCAACAGTGGCTTCTTCTGCTGCCGTCATTGCAGATCAACTCTCTGGGGACGGCATCCCTCTCTCCATCTTCTTACTCATCGATCTCGCCAAAGATACCCTCAAAACTTCAACGTCGCCCAAACCAGACATCATTGCCAGTCTCATTCCGTCTGCGAAGCAGTGGGATACCGCACTCGAAGCTCATTTGAATGCTACGCCACCTCTTTCACTCTCAATCACGAACCCTCTTCATGGGCTAGTCTTCCTGATTCGGCCAGTGGTTGCTGTCACAAACAAGAATCTGTTCAAAGATTCCGAGGAATTCTCCCTCCTGTTTCGCCTGTTTCTCTACACGACCAAGATGCTACTTGACAGCGAGTTAATGACCTATCAATCGGACGAACAGCTACAAACACTATACACTTATTATCCCCTTGCTCTACAATTTGTGAATCAGAAGGTGACTCTCGAGGCTGCAAATGATCTCTGGCAAAACACAAACGATGAGGTCATGGAAGAGGCTTCTGAACTACTTTCGCAAGGAAATTCTTTGGTTCAGAAGTGGGCTTCAGATGAGAGGATGCTGAAAATTTGGATCGAAAAGATTCGTTCAACAAAGCTTTTAAACCCGCAGGCTTTTTATTACAGCTTGACATTTACCGACGTGGGGCGGCGTACTATCGACGAAAACGGGCTTGCAACAATCACGTCTACTCTTAAGGAGGATATGACACACATGTACCGCTTAGAGGAGGTTTCGCGGTCCGCGAGTTTGATATGCACCTTTAGGGACTTCCTCGTCAGCTCACCACAAGGCCGAAAATTGCTCAATGAATTGATCGCCAGAGGAACTGATTTGAAAATTCCATCCACAGTCGAAGAGGGCCTACAGGCACTAGTCTTGCTTGACCTTTTCCTGGATGGACAATCTGAACCGTTGGAAATCATCCCGAGTCAGCGACAGATTTTCCTGCTGCAAACTCTTGAGCGTGTGGCTCGTGACGCCTCCGCTGGCCTGGCCTGTCAAACAATGGCCATGAAACTTCTCGAACCGGCTATTGCAGCCACCAAAGACATCTATGGGGACCATTGGGATCGCATCCTACAAAACCTGGTGGCTCTTTGGCAGGACGGTAGTGACTTGAACAATGATCTTCCTCTCCTACATGCCTCACTTCGAGTATACGAACGTTTCAGAGATCTTGCCACGACTGAAGATGCAAATGAAGACTTCGTTGAAGCCTGGAAATCCTCACAATCGTCTCTGGAAAAGGGTCTGTTGCACTGTCTGAACAGCTTCAACAAACCCAGCAACGAGATCGACCAACCCCGCCAGATTACAGCTGAACTGCTTCGAAGACAGCTTTTACATATCGACGTGCAGCCTGATATAGACTTGTACTCCTTCTTATCGTCGCCGGAAGCTCCGGTACGAAGAGCTGCTTACGATCTTCTGCACCGGTCGATCCCCTCTGAGCAGGAGCAGATATCGCTTGACGTTGCCCTTGAGTCAAAAGTTGCTCATCTCCCATCCGAACTCTTGAGCGTTCTATTGGATACTGCAAAAGCACAGGGTCTAGGGGCCGCGGCTTCGCGGCAGAGTTATTTACTCTCCTGGCATTTAGTCTTCGATCACTTTCCAACAGCGTCCTACAAGCTCCGGGACTTCTACGCTATGGACATCAAGGAGAAAGCAATACTCGGAGGTCTTCTGGACTTACTTTGCGATATTTGCCGAATCCCGAGTAACCGCCCCATTGACGCATCGAAGATCGATTTCAAATCCTTCGAACTTGGAACCGATGAAACCGATGAGCAAGAGGAGCAGCATCTCGCTATGCACCTTTATTATTGCTGTCTATTACATCTTCCAGGGCTCACAAGAAGTTGGTTCATTGAGCAAAAGAATCGTATTAAGACGCCATTGGAGAGCTGGACGCAGAGATATTTTGCCCCAGCCTTGATATCGGCCGCGGCGGCGGCGGTCAGCGACTGGATACGAAGTCAATCGCAAGAGGAAACTGATGCCCCTTTGACGATTAAAACATCATTGAGTGGCTCTGAAGTGGTAGCGTCCATCGCCGTAGATCCCGAGTCGCCGCCCATATCTCTAGCGATCTATCTGCCAAAAAACTATCCTCTGGACTCCCCGACTGTGTCTTCGCGCACCCGAGTAGGTGTCTCGGAGAAGAATTGGCAATCGTGGTTGCGAACGTTTCAAATAATCATATTCAGCACCGGCAGCATTATTGAAGGCCTCATTGCCTTCCGACGGAATGTCCAGGGCGCGCTGAAGGGCCAGAGTGAATGTGCCATCTGTTACTCGATCATCGGGACGGATATGCAAACCCCCAATAAACGATGTGGAACCTGTCGTAACACATTCCATGGGACCTGTCTCTTCCGATGGTTCAAGAGTTCCAATAGCTCCAGTTGTCCTCTGTGTCGGAACAATTTCAACTACGCCTAGCTGGACACTGTTATGTGATTGGCGTGCTCGGCAGGAACTCACATCCTTCACAGGCCTTGGGCTAGAGCTATTGAAGCCTGCTTCTCCCTCGTAGATGTAAACGGGGGGCTTATCAGCTGTGGCATACGAGCGCTTTCGCTATCGTTCTAGGACGTAGAATTGGAATTCCAAATGATCAGCATCGTCGTTACAGCATCAAACGCTGGTACAGTCTGGTAATCTCAATCACCGATTCGATGAAAGTGTGCCCGGCAGACCGAACTTGACAAGTTGCCGTCCGCAAGAACTGTTCTCTGGCGCTTTAAACTCCTCACACACTCAATATAGGATGCAGAAGTCGTCATAGTGCCAAGGGCTGGGTGAGCACATCGGCAAAACTACCGTTTATGGAATTTCTATAGTAGTTGTTTCTCACGCTCCGTATTCTGCACCAACGGCTTCAAGCCATCATGGACCACGACGGTGGGTGTACGATATTCGTCGATTGCTTCCCCCTGCACACGTATCTTGCTCAGTCAGAAACGGCGATTTACGCCGTGCTGAATACACGAATCCCTGCTTGGTCTTACGATCATGTCCGCGCCTTCTATCCCAAACCTGAATTCTCTCCGAAGAGGCCAACGTGGACGAGGGAGGAGTCGAGCGGATTACGGGACACATATCGCAGCCGGACAAGGATCAAGTCGCAGCCAGCTCCATCAGGATGAAATTGTGCAAAACACCGATAACGATGCCGCAACTTCACGGCAGAGTGCTGTGGATGCCGGTTACCTCGAGGACCCATTCTCTACGCTGTTGCACACTGGAGGTCCCGTGTCAAGACGATTACCACTCATGAATAGAGGTAGGTCTCGGCTGTGCACACTTTCCAAGTCCTCAATTTACCAGCCACAGGCACTTACGTCAGGACGACTTGCATTGACCGTATCGTCGATACCTTTCTATCTTCTGCGGGGGAGGGGCCAAAGCAGATCATCTCGCTGGGTGCCGGCAGTGATACCAGATACTTTCGCTTGAGGCAGAAGCGCCGGAAGCGTGACGTGATCTATCACGAACTTGACTTCGAAGCCAATACTAGGCGGAAAATCATCCAACTCCGCAGCCCAAGCTTCGAAGCAGCTGCCAGGCAACTTGCCGAGGTAGATATGCGAGGAGCAGACGTTCAAATCTCCCACGACGCGACGGCGTTGGTGTCCCCGGATTACGTTGTCCACCCTCAGGACCTCCGACACCTCTCACACAAGGAAGCCTTGCTGACCGGCATGGATATGACTCTCCCAACGCTGATAATCTCGGAGTGCTGCCTGGTGTATCTATCACCTGAGGGCGCGGATGCGGTGTTACATTACTTCTCAAAACTATTTCCAAAAACGACACCTCTGGCTATCGCAATCTATGAGCCAATCCGCCCCCACGACTCGTTCGGAAAGACCATGGTAAGCAATCTGATGGGTCGAGGCATACAGTTGCAGACCTTGGAGAAGTATGCTGGTCTGGAGGAGCAGAGAACGCGGTTGAGAACACATGGATTCGGGGCCGACGGAGCGAGCTCTCACGGGGGGGCAGAGGCGGCGGACATAGACTTCGTCTGGCAAAGATGGATAGTTCCGGAAGAGAAGGAACGCGTTGAAGGGTTGGAGTGGATGGACGAGGTGGAGGAATTTGTGCTGCTTGCCAAACATTATTGTATCTGTTGGGGCTGGAGAGGGTTTGGAGAGGATTCACTCTGGAAGGATCTACCCGGTCCGACCTCTTGAGTGATTATGTTGATGTCATCCGTTAGAAGTCGTACATAGGAGCACTCCGGATGTTCTTATGGACTGATATCATAATATCGATTTTCAGCTGATACCGATACCCTAGAGCAGAGTAGATTTCCCCCGTGCTGTGGAGCACAAAAGCGGGTTGTCACGTGCTCAGATCTATTGCTTCATATCCAAGTGCGGTCTTGGCATTAGTCCGCGCTTTTCCAACCCGTATTTTCACTTGTCCAACTCCAACCAGGACAATAACAATCATTGTCCATATATTTGCGATCGACATATCATCTCCTCAGACCCCATAGCCCCATATCAACGATGGACAGCCTGCAGCGCCTCGAACACCACGGTGACTCCATCCGTGCACGTTCACGCCCCTACCAGTGGCTAGACCGACAAGCCGTGGCGCAACTCGCACGAATTTTAATCCCCGCCCCAGCAACCAGAAACCAAAACAATCAGCGTTTCTGTGCTGGGGAGCTTATCAACTCGGTGGGTCAATGAATCTCTGCAGAAACTCTGGTGGCAAAGTCAAACGGTGCCTAGCTTGCAGTTTTCCAACTGTTGGTTTCAACGAGGTGCCATGTGTGAAAGGAAATGACGCAAGCTTCACTCGACTGGTCTCGTCCCTCAGTAAAGACCTTCTTCTAAGGCCTGAACGAAGGAGACAGCGTCCCACGCTGGAATGGGCAGAAACCAACGAGATTGCCAGCCAACATTCCTGACAGAACGAAGTCACATAGCACAGCAACGAGCCCATAGGCGAAATGTGCCTCTGGTTGATTTCCCCGTGATGATTCGATAAGGCAGATCACACTGGGCAGTTCACCTCGAATCGGAGGATTTCTGATTCGCGCCGCGAGATTGACAATGCTCCAAAGTGGACTGAGTGGACGCGATGGCAGGGTTGGCGCCTTGACCTTTCCCCATTCACAAAACAAACAGTGCTAAATGTGGGCCTTCTCCAAACTATCTAGGCCAGCCCGGTGGACCAGTAATGCGCCAGCCTTGCATGGGTGCAGAGTGGCTCTGCCCCGGCTTGCCCCATCGTTACGGGCAATTTGCCCTTTCGGAGCTTGATCTGCATCTCATTTACCTCTTCGCCATAGCTTGGACTTCTTCCTTTTGATTGTGTATTGTGTCTTTCACTCTGCGTCTGTTTCTGCGCTCGTCGTCGCCGGGGTCGTTGTTCGTCGTCTTTCGCTGTTGCGCGCTCTGCGAGCACCCACGCTCCTTACCAATACAACTGACCTTAGTCCCTCATTTACGACTCGTCACCAGCGTTGGCAAAATCCCCCCAAGTATCACGAGGCGATGCTCATGCGTGAACCATTATAGCAGAGAATCCCGCCAAACGCGAACCACTATGCGGAAGCGGACGATTACTTCGAGCGCAAGCGCTCTACTCCTTCTGCTCACCTCTCTTGTCAGCGCAAAACACAACGGGATCCACGATCACCTCGAGGCCCTTCACAAACGACATCGCGCAAATCGAGAGCTTGCCGCCAGATCAACGGCTGAGGATGGACAGCAAGGGGTGGAAGTAAGATCGATTCCAGAAATTCAAACATCTGTGAGCAATTTGGAGAAGCGACAAGGGCAATGTGCTTTTCCTACAGATGCTGGCCTGGTTCCAGTCTCGCCGGGGGATGAAAACGGTGGATGGGCCATGAGCCCAAATCAACAATGCACGCCAGGAAGTTACTGTCCTTACGCATGTCCGGCTGGTCAAGTGTCCATGCAATGGGATCCCAGCGCTACGTCTTACACATATCCCCAGTCGATGGTTTGTTGTCTTATTCTAGCGTGACCGCGCATTGTGCTGACCAGACTTAGAACGGTGGGCTGTACTGCGACCAGAACGGCAACATACAGAAGCCATTTCCAAACAAACCATACTGCCAGGCCACCAATTCCAACATCGGCGTCCAAAACAATGCTGGTGGCGTTGTGTCATTCTGCCAGACTGTGCTTCCAGGAAATGAAGCCATGTTGATTCCCACGTCCGTCACCAGTTTTGCGACTCTCGCAGTACCAGGTCCCAGCTACTGGTGCGAAACTGCGGCGCACTATTACATCAATCCTCCTGGAATTGGCACTGATCAAGCGTGCGTATGGGGTACCAGTTCTAATCCTTATGGCAATTGGTCCCCTTATGTGGCTGGAGCCAATGTGGATTCCTCAGGAAACACATTCATCAAGCTTGGTTGGAATCCTATCTATCTCGAGCCGGCTACGCCTTTCCGGAATCAAATGCCAAATTGGGGCGTCAAAATTGACTGTCCCAATGGCGGATGCTCGGGGCTCCCGTGTGCCATTGATCCCTCCCAAAACTCAGTCAATGAAATGGTTGGTGATTCGAGCATTGGAGCAGGAGGTGGCGCCTTTTGTGTGGTTACAGTTGCGCAGGGCTCAAGCGCCAACTTTGTGGTCTTCAATGCCGGCGGCGACACCAGCGATAGCGGTAGCAGTAGCGGCTCTGGTTCGTCGACTACATCGTGGAGTGGCAACAATGCTGGACAGTTCTTCCAAACCACCAGCTCTTGGCAATCACCCACAGCTTCTCAGTCGTCCTCTGGATCCCCTTCCAGCGAAACATCCACCACTTCAACCGAATCCTATGCGGAATCCTGGACTTCCTCGTCGGTCTCAACGACAAGCTCTGCACATATGGTGTCGCCTTGGACTGGCCCTACCAAAGCAACCGGTTACTCGTACGGACTACCAACTCATTCGCCATATTACTCGTTGTTCAACCACACCACCTACACACCCCCAACAGGAGTTACCGCGGGAGCCGTCGAAACAACCGCCGAAGCCACGGCAACACCATCCGCGCCAGCCTCATCTACAGTTGCTCCCCTCTTGCCTGCCACAGGTGGCTCCTCGACAGCACAACTTTCTCTTGTCGGCCTCTTCTCGGCGTTGGCCGTCTACGCATCTGTTATAATGTGATACCCACCTACCTCCAATATTCTATGGTATGGTATCGCAAAACAAGAGTGCTCCGGGTTATCGTATAGGACTTGAACACTAGCGCAGCTGGTCTTGCAGACCTGGTTCCTACCATCGATTCGGCTGGACGATTTGACCACATCCATTCACTTCTTCCTGGATATTTTCGATTGCAGCTTTACCGTTTCTTTACATAAAGAACATATTTTCATGTCCGTATCATTCTGGTAATGCCGGCAAGGGGCACGCAGCTACGTCAACCACGTATTCGCATTCGGATCACAACCTGCTCGTCCGGGAAATTTTTGTTGATAGTACCGCAAACTCCAGAATATCTAGGGTTTGGAGACCTTGTTCTAACGATGCCCATGTCTGTTTGTTGGAAGTTCATGTTGGGAGACAAGTATCGAGGCGGGCTTTGAGAACGAGAGTTGATCGTTCCAGATTGGCCTTTGGCGGTTGGGGGCATCGAACGTTTGACGTTTAGAGGTATCGGACTCGAGAGTACATAGTTGACTTTAATCAGATCTGTTGATACCCTATATTACTCGCGAACGAAACCTTTAACTGTATCCACCATCAAGGCACTATTTATGGCTGAAAACCTTCAGTGGGGACAAATGGGAGTCGGTTGTTGTAGTCTGACAGAGTTGTCAGGCAATCCATTGGGAAGGCTGTGCTAATGGAGGCAAAGGAGGAAATACTGCACCGGCAAGGGTCATGATCATTTTTAGATGCGGGCTGCAAAACCACGTTTGTGCTTCGGTGAAGGAACAGTAAACTATCATTGTCTTTCTCCTTTACACGAGAATGCAGACTGAAAACCAAAGAACCTTTTGAACCGACCGAAGGAACTGTTGAACCTCCTTCAACCATCTGGAACGGGATGTGGAGGTCGGGAGTAACACAGCGTCTGGCTGCTTTCAATGCCAACGCGAATTTTGACATTGTCACGGATTTGCTCGTATAGTACGCTTAGATCTCATATCGCATTGCGTCCTGCTACTTTGTCTGCAAGTTGACTCAACCCCCTGCTCATTCCCCCACATTCTCCTGGAGGTGATAGAAAAAGTCAAAGCTGATCACCGGAAAAAGAACAGAGCCCTCAGCCCCTTCTTGTAGCCCAAGGGAATCAAATTGATTACAGAACCTAAGAAAATAGCATGCAATATTCTTTTCCAAAAACCTCTCAGCCTCTGTCGTATTCTTGAGCCGGGTTATTTGTATGTCTATGAACCAAAGTCCTACTCTTGGTAAACCTAGAGACCAGCCAAGCCATTCGTCAGAGGGAGGTCCACACAGTCGCTGATCTCTCCTCCAGTAACCGACTGCTCGAGAGTCGCGTTCTTCAACATGTCCAGTCCCGCGTCGAAGTCCTGGACAAGGAAGACCTTACTCGCCGTATTGCCATCCGCGTAGTTGCACAGCACTGTCCAGTACTCGTTGCCTTGGGTGTCCATGGCCACGAAGACACTGTCGAGAGCCCCGTCGTTGGTGCCATCGTCAACGATAAAAGGCACCAGCCCAACAATCTCAGAGGAGATGGGGATGTGCTCAGAATCACCCAGGCGGAGGCGCGAGACACCGTAGTTGTTCATTTCGGGAGTGTAGTAAAACAAGGTGCGACCCTCACTATCACCGACGACAACTTCGTCAAACACCTCGAATAATGCACTACCAAAGGTTTCGGAATCGATGTCCTGGATGCGGACGTTGCCATCGTCGTCAGCCGCAAGGTTATATTGGAGTCCTGTGTCGGAGATGATGGTGTAATTGTATTCCGGGCCAGATTGGACTGACCCATCGAGATCCAGCGGTGTGGTGAAGTTGGACGAGGTGTCATTCATGTAAGCCGAAACTTGGGAGGGGAAGTCGTATTCGTCTTCGTCGTCTACTCCGTCGCTATCTCCGTCGACGTCAACATCGATGTTCGGGAACGGATCAGTTCCCGCTGCGTACTGGGACAGCGTCAGTAGCGAATCGCTGTCGTAATCGTAGCTGTCGTCAGTAGTAGTTGTGTTGTCAGATTGGCGCTTCTTAATTCCAGATAGTGTCAAGCATTTGGAGGCCAGGTTGAGCTTGTATGGGCTGAGCAGCTGTTTGTCCTTGGTCTTATACTTCTCCTTACCGAAGAGTTTAGCCACCGCATTTGCCTTGAGATCGTGTTGTAAGTTGATGTAGAAATTGATGCCATTGCAGGTCTGGCCAGTTGAAGCACCATTGGTGGCACCATTAGCAGTGGAATTCACGCCTCCGGAAAGCGTACCATTCGAGAGGCTGACTTCGGCTTGGAAGGTCGCCCCAGCGTGCAGCGAGGGGACACTGGTGACAGCCACCTCGGCGGTGAACTTGGAGTTGGCAATATCCAGACCAAAGGCCAGGCCGATCGGCAGCGCGACGTAGGTGTCCATGATGATCTCGCCCTTGGCCTTGAAGGTTGGCTCAAATTGTGGTTGCCAGGTCGGGGTCTGTGAGTTGCCTGAGTTCACCAGATCTATCACGGCACGAGCATTGGCAACCTTGACTGTGCCGCCCACGAGTATTTGGCCCGTAGCATTGAAAGTGAAACCGGCTTCGGCATCGAGGGTGATGTATGGTCCGATAGTGATGATATTGGGAACCGAGAGACCGGGGATACCTTGAGTGAAAAGTCGCACGCTCTTCTTGTCAGCGTAATTGACCTCAGCCGCCACGCCCAAATTGACACCTGCTTGTAAGTTTCCCAACATCTCAAGTTGGCCCATAGTCAGGCCCTTGGTGATGTGGAAGGCAGCGCGACCAGCCACATTCAACGATCCCGTGACACCGCAGGAGACGCAGTACACATGGAAGTTATTGTTCTCCCAGATCTTGATGGCATTGAGCGGTTTGTCGTTGTCATCCTTGAAGAAGTCCTGCTGGACGTATTTTACTTGAGTAGCGTTGGGAATGGTGAAGGTCTTATTCACTTGGTATTCGTGGGGGCTGCCATCGACCCATGATTTAATGTCAGATGCCTTGGAGACAACCTTCTTGGCGAAACCAACAATTTTGTCCTTAAGCGACGGTTTCTTTTGGATCCCTTTGTCTTTGGAGGCCTGTTTCGATTGTTAGTCTGGGAAGGATATTGTTGGTGTGTCTTCATTCTGAACTTACAGCCGCTCCCTTCTTGCGAATATCCGAAACGACTGCATTGCTTCGATCCCTACTAGCAGTGGCGCGTTTTGTAAGAGACCTCTTCTTGGAGTCTTGCTCAAAATAGTCGCCGTCGTCGGTATCAAGATCGACATCAGCGTCGCTGTTGTCGTCGTCGCCATCGTCAGTGAAGATGCCGTCATCGTCGTCGGAATCGTCATCATCGTCATAGTCATTCCAGTTATAGTCATCCAGACCACCAGCAAATTCACCGAGGTCTTGCTGGAAGTCCGATTCCTCCCATACGATGTACCCTAGGGCATCATCGAGTTGCTGGTCGAATGTATCGCTGTCGTCGGTGCCTGTGGGTAGGGATGTTGCGGCAGCGCTTGTGGTTGATGTTGCGCCTGAACCGGGGTATCCCCTGCTGGTTGTTGAATAACCTCCAACGGAGCCCGAGGAGGACTTTGTGGACACACTTCCAGGCGCTCCAGTCGAGGTCGAGGAGGATTGTTGATATGTGCCCCACTCCAGGTCGAAACTCTCAGCGACGTAATTGAGATCCACGGCCTTCACGTCACAAGTGGCGGTTGATGTTGCAGAGTCGAAGCTCACCGAAGAAGTTAGATAATACACATAGTGGCCGTCATCGGATCCCTCTGTGGTAGCCAGGACAAACCAAGTACCATCAGCAGGCCACGATTTGATTGCATAGTTGTAGGCTTGTTGAGAAGAAAAGGCGACGGTCAATGACGAACCAGACACGGTGGCCGCCACAAAAGCCGAATGATCGAGCACGACGGTAGGATACTGGAAAGTAGTCCCAGCCGAAACGTAGAGAGACCCTGATGAGATACCAGAGTTGGGAGCCCCCTGCGCAAAGAACAGACCCTTTGCGCTGCCCGGCTTCAAGTGCGAGAGATCTTGGTCATTGTGTGAAGGAAGGAAGCCAGGAGTCAAGGTGTGGATCGGCGCCGAAGCCGAAACAATTGCTGGATTCCCCCCGGTGTTGCCGGAATACGACCAACCTCCAGAGGAAGAGGAGGAACTCCCGCCGAACGAGGCACCCCCAGACGAGGAACCACCACTTGCTGAGCCGCCCGACGAGGAAGAACCTCCCGAGGACGAGCTTCCCCAGGATGAACCGCCTGAGCCAGAATGTCCGCCGCTGGCCCAATCGCCCCAGCCGTCTGATCCTGTATTGCTTCCGGAGTGGCTTGAAGAAGAGCCATCTTCATGAGGGAGCCAGTCTGCCCATTGCCCGACTGACGCAGTTTGTGTATAAGTCTTGCTCAATGATGTCGTGCTGGTGGAACTATTGGTAGTGATGGCGATCGTGGAGGTGGTCTTTTTGGAAGAAGCGGTCCAGTCCCCCCATGAGGGGGTGGATGGTACAGCAGTGGTCGTCGTCGTCGTCGTCGTGCTTGGCGTTGTCCATTCGTCCCAACCAGCCGGTGAAGCAGCGGCCAGGGACAGAGTGAGAGCAGATACGAGGAGATGTGCAGCCATGCTGATTTTGAGAGTGGTTTTAGGTGTAAACAACGGCAAAAAAAAAGAATGGACGACCCGCAAGGGTCAGGAACGAGTGATTGAAAACAGAAAGGAATAGAAAGAAACAGCACAAATGAAGGACTGGACTGGTTAGGAGTGCTCACCAACAGTGTTTACCATCACGGGGACATGTGTTTTATATACAAAAGTCCCTGGCTGAACATAACTGGAATTTTGGACGGTCATGTCTCTCCTCTCCGTCTCGAGCTGCAGAAAACTAGCGAACGAGTGAGTGAGTTTCAATTTGACTCCTTCAATGCCGGATTCGGACGCCAAGCTGGACTCAGGTGAAGTTGATGAAGCCGCAAACACCATATATCGACCATAGAGATGCAAATAAGCGTCAGGCAAAGCTTTCGCCGAGATTGAGCATGGCATTCGCTTGTATGCACGTGGCGTCAAGGGTCCTCACTTTCGGCCTGACCGAGTTCTCCTACTTGGCTGCCGACAGCAGACCGGCGAGCGAATAGCTTCAGGGCCTTGCATACCGGATGGCGTAGAGGACAGTCTAAGATTGGTAGGCCTCCAGAAGTGGAAGCGCTAGTGAATATGCCTGATATAAGGGGGTTGCACTGTGTGAGTATGGTGGATGGAGAATCCACTGGTGAAAAGGAGACTCATAAGCAGCCTCGCACAGCTGGAGTGGGCAATGGTCTGTCTACTGCGGGTACAGTAGTTAGTCTCGATCAGTATGGAACTCCTGAGTCCTCCAGCTGAGTCCAGACCGTAGAAGAAAGTGGGCCATTATGAGACAGTCCTCACACTGTTGAGGTCATCGTTGGTCTCACTGGGAATGATGACTGCACAGTCTGGAAGCTCTTACTCAATCCTCAGCACGGCTGTCAAGAAGTTCGAACGACGCAGAGGACGGAAGCACAAATACGACCAAAAATGAGGAAACTCCTCTGAGGTTGAAAGAGTGATATTCATGCAACCGAAGCAATGTTGGCCTTCTTGGCATTACCCCACAGAGGCTATGGAGATCCACACGTGATTCGGCCTGGGTTGTTTAGCGCTTCCACGGCGCATCACGCGAACCAGAATACTAGGTACCATCAATTCCTTACGCCCCCTCGGCTGTGGTTCAGCTTCAGCCACCAACGCCTCTGAAGAATGCGTGCAGGGGAAAGGGGTAGTCAGTACCATCGGCACCGCGCCCTGATCCAGAAAAGTGTTGCAGAATGGCAGAGTGGCGAAGTAGCAAAAGGATCTGATATGAAACAGCAAATTTGATGTGCCATGGCACATTTTACCGATGCAGTGGACAAGGACAGCGAGGAACTTCAGATTCGCTTCTCTTGCTACATGCACTTAATACAGCCCTCTTGAATGGAAGGCTAGCCCCACAATTCCAGTCTTCCATCGCCCAGTCTGGACCTTCTTATGCAGCATCCCGCCGTTAGGCTGAAAGTTGTGTGGCACTGCATTTCCAGGTGTGCCACATAATAAGATAAAGATATCGCCTTCTGGCAAGTCGGTTTCCTCTGTCAAAGTCAGCCTGGCCTTTCTTCAGATCTCGCTACATCCCTGGGTGTGAGGAATGAAGAGAGTCGCTGTCTCGTATGAACAACACTTTCCGTTCTAACTCATTCTATGCATTTCCAGTTGAGACTGACGCAATGCCTCAACCTTTGCCTAGGCTATTCTCATTCATTGACTCAAGTCATATTGCTGGGGAGGAGCACGTGGGCCACATGGATTCTGTCAGATGTCGAGGTGCCGCTTCAGTCAAGGACTCGGGTACCAGCAAAACCGGCTACACCGACGATTACAAGCATTAAGATCGAACCCGATGGGGGTACAGAGACATCGACAACAAAAGAACAAAATAGTAAGCTAAATACGGTCGAGAAATACACTCTATTGGATCACACCACTTACAGCGTTGTTGCTATGCTTGGTAGGTTTGGGCGGAGCAAAGGCCATTGCGTTTACTTGAGCAAGATCAAAGGGAAACCGGTCGGCGACCAGATCTGGACCATTCAATATTCTCTCGCTTTGGCCTTCGTGTTTAAGTCATCCCTGGCAGCCAGTATCTCACTTGCTTTGACTCAGCATGCGTGCGTTACACTTCGACGTTGCAAAAATGGAACTTCAGTTTCGGCGATTGATGCAATGTTTCTTTTCGGAAGCTCACTATTCAAATTCCTGTCTCCTTCACTGTGGCGATCAGCCGTGGGGACCTCCACGACCAACACTACCGAGGACAGCTGCATTGTACGGACACTGGACTGGGGCGTCAATCAAGACTTCACCGTCCCCACTGATGCTCGTTCCTTGTTCGTTACTGATAACTCGTACTTATACTACCATTCGTCGACGAGCAGTGAAGACTGACAGCGTCGATGTTGGAAAATGGTCACCAACTCGGCTGGACGTTGCCATGTGGACAGAACTGCACCTATGGCATCCGCTTATCGGCCCTTCCTGGTACTGCACAGAAGTTGAGGAAGTTGACGATCCCCGAGCACCTTAAAAGCCTCAGTCCTCTGGGCCGTATTGGTACTGGGGTGAGTACGGAGATGGTTCAAACATTACCTCGTACTGTAACCTGTAATGGAAGACAACTCCAACAATCTGCTCTAAAGCCCGGTCTACTGTAGCGGGTTGAATGCCTCCACAAACCAATCCGTGCCAGGATTCGATGCCGGGTTCACTCGAGGTCTCGACCCATCGGTTGGTGTCTTGAGGAAATTACGACGTGAGATACTGGACGTTCAAGGATGCTGCTGTCAATTCGGCAACTCCTCACATACGACGTAAGTGAGCTATAAAGACGGGGTTCAAAAACCAATGCCCTGAACAAGAGTAATCCGTTCTCGAGCTTCCAGATCTCCCCTGAGGGCTCGGAAGGCCAAGGCAGCTACATCGTCATGTCATGTTATTCGGATATGTACATCAACCGAGATCCATGCTATGACCTTGTGGCTGATACCTCCCTTGGTCTCGTCCCATCCCTCATCACCAGCCTTCCCATCAACGTAACCTATGCTTCCGAGACACCCTATATCCCTCGCCGGAACTTTGGCTCCTTGCTGCAAGAGCTCTCGCACGATCTCACCATCTCTCCGATGTCAAACCACTTGACCTTGTCACGAGTTTTATGACGGTGCCACGCCCCCGAACCCTCACCGAAGCGGTCTGGAAAGTTGACTGGGTTCCCATTCTTACGGCTTACAGCACCGGCTTGGGAGTGGCTCTTATCTGCTTGGCTGTTGGAGCCCGGGCCTCCATGGTCCACTGTTTGGTCCACAATACATTTTTCTCGCGGTCGTACGCACGACCGGGGATGAGGAAGAGACATACCTATTCGTTAAAGGGATGTTGGGAGACTAAGACACGCATGCCAGTCCAAGATTCCTCTGTTGTGAAGCTCATATCACTCCAGGGAGCACGAACAATGACGTAAGAGTTCTTCAACAACCCAAAACGAACCTCATTTCTTAGACCGCGCTCTTCGGTGCTACCATATGCGTTTGCTTGTAGCCCAGTAAGCGAGATGTATGTTCAAGACGCCTTCGGTCGCAATAGCAGCAGAGCACATGTCTGTGGCACGATCCTCGTCCCAATTTGGGGCGAAAGGCTGGATTTAATAATACTTTTTATCAGGATTCCGAAGCTAGCGTCGATAGTCCCCAGGCATGGCTTTCCCCCCTCCATGTCCCTGGTGATCCTCCGTCTATCCCCCACCTTCAACCCAGGGCCGCACAACTCACCCACTACTCTTACCAGTGCACCGATCACTTCTCTTGTTACTACTATTTTACGGTCGAGGAACACATAAAGCTTCGTTTGCCCTGTTGCTGATTCGGACTTCTGCTCCTTCTCATCCGAGCCGCAGCCGGCCTTCGGTCCAATAACGCTCGGCGCAGAGAACAAAGGTCGTGCGACTAACTCAAGATGCCAGCAGCATCACCTCAAACAGTGAGTCTCTATTTGGACCCGGACTACATCTATTCCACAACACAAGTCGAGAAGATCGCTACGGGTCCGACTATGCGTAGGAAGTGATGCCCTTTGCGCTCCCACTGCGTTTTGCATGTGCTCACATCACACCAAAACCACAAGAATCTCTAATTCATTCCACATAGGTCAAACTAAAATCGACCCTCCGCCTCCTCATCCCTCGTCTTCGCAATGCACAGAAGAAAGACACCGCCATCTCCGTGTCGGCACGCCGCGAGATGGCCGAACTGCTCGCCCAATCCCGCGAAGCGTCTGCTCGCATACGCGTTGAGAATATCATCCACACCGACATCACCGTGGAGCTGATGGAGATTCTGGAGCTCTACGCCGAACTCCTCCTGGCCAGAGCAGGACTGTTAGATGTCAGGGACAAGAACATCAAAGAAGGCACAGCGCAGGCGGGCGACGATACTGGGTTGGAGGAAGCGGCAGCGAGCATCATCTACTCTGCGCCGCGGTTGCCCCGGGATGTGCGGGAGCTAGGCATCGTGCGAAGCATGCTGATCGAGCGATTTGGCAAGGACTTTGCAATTCGTGCGAACGAGAATGAGGACAACTGTGTCCCCACACGGGTGGTTGACAAGTTAAAGGTCGATCCGCCCAGTGCGAAGCTGGTACAGGCATATCTGGAAGAGATTGCGAGGACTTATGGAGTGGACTGGCCTCCGCAAAGAGAAGGAGAGCAGGTCGAGGCACTGAGTGAGGAAGTCGATGGTGAGGATGCTGGCGATGACGATGGCGCGGGTGGTGGTACGAAGGAGCCACCTTTGCTTGCGGGCGGATCAGCACCGACCCCATCGACGCCATCACGGCCGAACAAGATCGACATTGGCTCTTTACAGAATGCGACGCCGCCGTCAAGCTTGGAGCCTGGAGGCGCAAAGAGTCCTGTCTCTATAGCTCCTCCTGGCGCGACATCTGAAAACCTCAGCCCAAAGGTCAAACTGCCTGGAGGAGGGGAGATCAGAAAGGGTTTCAATAATGTGAAATCAACACCACCCGCCGGAACGGCAAAAGGAAAGAATCCAGTTACAGGAGGAGGTGCCGGAGCGGTGCCTGGAAGTGTTCCAACGGTGGATGATTTGGCAAAGAGATTCCAGGCGCTCAAGAGATGAATATGAACCATCAGCGGGACACGAAGATGCAGATCAGACATCTGCTAAGCAGAACAGTTTGGAATCTGATGCATTGGAAATTTCTTCCATTCACCACAGGGTCGTCGCAAACGGCGCGACTACTGTGATACCACCTCTGCCTTGCGGTAACCGTTCATGCCCCTGCCCGGTTTTGTCAATCTCCATTCCCTTGACTGTGTGGGCGAGTTCATCAACAAAGCAATATATTCTCCATCTTGCGAATACCTTGAGCCGGATTCCATAGTCGAAGACGAGAATATTCTCAGCTTTCCTGACTTCTTGAGCGGTATTTTGGATGGAGTCAAGGAGGAAGGCAAAGTCGGGCTGCGATCCGATGCTTTCTCGAGGATTTGCCATAACCTTGGAGTTTGATTATGTTGCTGTTGTCGTTGATCCATGATACTGGCAGGGTAAAACACATGTACAATCCACTTCCAAGATTGTCCGCGAGAGTTGCTGATGTAGCATTCGGTCAGATTCAAGGACCGTTTGGGGAGTCCTTGTCGATTCTGATATGATCCTCGCGTCTTGGGCTTTTGGCTGAATACTCTTCCCCTCACTCCAGTTTGTCCAGGTGCTCCAGTCTCGTCAAGACGACTTGTTTGCTCGTCTCCTCGATCTCGCCGGCCAGGAACACCTCATCAAGAATGGCGTAGACCTTGTAAAAGTTGAAGACGAGATCCAATTCGCAGACGTTGCCGAAAAACTGGTCAAGCACCTCGACAAAGAAGTGGATGGCTTCGAGGTAGGCTAACTCGTTGTCATTGGCGTCGACGCAGACGCAGAAAAACAAGCCTGCGTACCGGCGGTACACAATCTTTGTGGAGGACAGGTTCTGGCGGACAAGGGGTTGGGCGTGCGACGTGGAAGCGGACGAAGAGGGTGCGGATCGGAACTCGACGAAGTTGGATTGGTATTTCTGGTCGCGGGGAGCAATAAGTCGATGGACCTGTGGGATGTTCGAACAGTCAACCAAACAAACCCTTCAAGAGGAGAAGTCGATCCTGTCGATGTGTTGGGTGAACATCATCTTACCTCGCCCTTCAGTTTCACCTTCTCTTCGTCCGTGTAGGGGGCATACCACTTGGCGAGCCTCGTTTTGCCCTGACGATTCTGGACAAGAATAAAGGAGAGCACCATGTTGGCGATGCAAACCTCGTCGGCAATCAACAATTGAAGATCAATGAATAATGAGTGAAGCCACACATGGGGCGTTGTCGCTCTGCCATGACCCCGACTTGGCCGGTACCGAGTCCGCGTGAGATTGGACTTTCCCGTTTTAGTGACATTCAAACAAATCTCAGTCATCTTCTTCGGGTCAACACCATCAAACACTTCAACGACTGAATGAATGCGCTCGCGTCTGCAAAGCCAAATTTCCGGCCTGTGGACCTTTTCATTACCAGTCACTGGACCATATACTTTCGGGGAGTGCAGGTTATGTAGACGGCCATGAGCAGAGTGTCAACGCGACGGTCTAAGATGGACGTTTTCTCATTTCGTTTCCATCCAGACCTTGGCGATATGTATGCGAGCAAACGAGGCCACATCATTCCGTGAGTATATATTGCTATTCCCCCGTGGTCTTGCGAGCCTTCGGGTTTTCTTGACCAGGCCTATACAAAATATCGAACTGCGATTAGACAACACTCCCAACTCTCCGTCATATTCGACAGCAACGAATCTGTAATCATAGACGAGCGCACTGCATCCACCCTCAACATGTTGAAATCTCTCCGGTCGGCTGTGCATGAAATGCTGGAGGTTAGCGAAGAAACCGCGTATCGTGGACGTCCTGGGCCCAGACCGGTCGATGCTAGTGCCGCCGACTCCCACGTTGGATCTGATTCCCTGCCACAAACCCCAGGTACAGGAGAGCGCGAAGGGGTTGTGCATTTGCGGGGTGGAATCACCAGGGAAGGTTGGGAGAAATCCGATGGGTGGTGTAGGTGCTGCGTGGTGATGTGATGCTCACACTCTGGCTTGTGAGGGATTGCAGGGAGTACCAAGGGCATGATGTGAACTTCGGCGGAGGGTTGTTGCTACTTTTAGGTCATGCGTAGCATCCGTCTCGAGTCTCTCGAGAGAAATCTCACGACTGGTCTTTTGACTCTGCTTATTCCTTGTGGCGTCTTCGACTGTTTTATTATCTGTAGAACTGAAAACCCTCAAAGTCCCACAAGGGCAACAAGAGACTGAGCAAAAAAAGGGGCTATGTATCTATGCTTATTAACCCATGTGGTTGTACACTGTAGCTGCCTGTGATCCTTGCTCGCTGTATACAAGAAAAGAGAACTCCTCCAACGCCGGGACGTATGATCTCGCACCTATACGTGGAAAACCGACGGCTGTAACATCGGGAAATGCCTGAAGCGACAGCTTCGTCCCCCGGTTTCCTGTGGCTTACCCGAACATTGAATTCATGGCCTTGTGCGCCAGTTCGACCCCCACAAACGTGGCTGCATTCGCTGGTATGGCTCTTGCCAATGCTGGTCCGAACCCTGGAAAGAAAGCCTTTATACCACCACTTCTGTATACCTGCGACATGACACCACCGATGGTCGGCTTGCCTTCGGCGGTCTGTATCCTGCTCTTGACCGTGTCGACAGGGAACACGGGAATCCACATTGCCACGCCTGCACAAGCTCCAGCTGTCATGACAGCCGTCAGACTCAATTCCCCGGTCGCGTTGCCCTCGGCATCCTTCGGGGAGAGCGTGCGTTTCACGTATTCGTAGACTGCAAAGTACGCCGCTGAACCGGGGCCATCGCGGGCAAGAGTCATGGCGCTACCCCTGAATACGGATCTTATGCCACCCTCTTTGTAAAGCTGTCTAACAACGTCCACTCCACCAGAGTATTTGGGTTTCTCTCCCGGCGCGAGCTGCTTTTGACCCTGAATCTGCAGGAGGACTTTGACGCGCTCAAACGGCGCAGTGATGAGGGTCATAGGTATAGCCGAGAAGAACCCCGCGGCGGATATTTGCCCGATGGAATATTGAGGCGTATTGTTCTTGACAGGCACCGTAGTGAATGAGTCCACGAGTCTTTTTCCCATGTCATATCCCCAAAAGCTCACGGCGAACATGGGCGTGACACCCACTAGGGGGGCAGAAACACCGGCATAGAGACCTCTCGCCAGTCCCTCCCGAGCGACGGTCTTCTTCACAACATCGATGGCGCCCGAATAAACTCCCTTGTCAGCGGTTTGTAGGCGAACTTTTACCAAATCGAAAGGGTGCCCGACTACGACCGCACACACGCCACCTACTCCGCCAGCGACAAGAGACCGGAGGCCGGAGACGGCGCCCTTGGCAGTCTCTTTGACTTGCTCTTTGACCTCCTCAGAGGAGGGGAGTTGTTCTATGGACGTCGGCATCGTGGCTGGGGCCATTGGGGTGGTGCGATGACGTGCAGATGGGCAGCAGGTCCAGGTAGGCTTGTCGCGCAGGAGACCGGCGAGGTATTCGAGGAGTCAAAGCTCGAGGCTTCGTCTGTGTATTGTTCTTGTTATGGTGCGGTAAAACTTAACGGGCGGACGGAGCGATGAAGCGATCGACGGCGAGTTTGGAGGCTTGTCGGAGGGGCAGGTAAAGACGCGTCAGGACGCAGCGACTCGATTTAGCGACGGGATATCATGGTAGAATATCTGCACCCAAAATTCAAGAGCGATTCACTGAGGCTCAAGAAATAGAAATAGATTTTCCCTCAGAATAAGTTCGCATGGAAGGATTAAAAAATTTTTGTTACTGACGCGGGAAACATCGCATGCCCTTTGACATCGCCGACTTCACAAGCTTGCGAGGGCGTACGGAGTAAAAGGACACAGATTCCCCGGAGGTTGTTCAGCCGAGGTTCGGCCCTGCTGAGTTTGCCTCGCCGTGCCCTCCAACCGTGGCTGAGTGCGTGGGGGGTGGCATGGAGAGCCATCAAACACCCCGAAATGTTTTCGTTCTCCGGCATTGTCATCTGGGCGAAGCTCGGAGACTGTCAGGATACGTCTTGTACGAGTTACACACGTCCAAACAAACTTGTTACCATTTTTCAGAATACTTCAGCTTTCCTGGGCCATATTCAACGCCTCCCTGCCTGTAGTATACAAAATGTTGCATGCAATGACGAAGTGATCAGTCTGTGTACCTTGGAGCAAAGCCGGTTAAGAGGCAATACCACGGTTCACTGATGAGCACGTGTGATCCCGTGTACCGTCCTCATCACCTCGCCCAGTTTGTCCCCAAACAGGATGTGAGCTTCAGCGACCAGAACAATCGTGAAGAGGAGCCAGCAAGCGAGGAAGATGAGGGTCACCTTGGCCATCAACCTCAGCAACCGCATTCGACTCTCCCAGGGGAAACTTCTCCATGCCTCGACCAAGCCGATCTTGCCTTGTCCACCAATGATAGCGGGAGTAGTCTTCCCGCCAAACGTGCGGTCAAATGGGACGATGGTTTCATCCTCCTCCGGGAGCATTGACGCTGCGACTCGGACCAAGGTGACGGTGGCGGGAATCTGGAGGAGCACGAATAGAGCGACCATGAGAGAAAATCCTAGAATTCCCTGGCCACCCACAGCATAGAGGTCTTTGCGACCTGGCTTGTAGTCGGGATTGTCCATATGCTTGAGCGACCCAAACGAACCACAAACCAACATGGGGAGAATCGCTACGACCTGGTGGGTAGTTGCCCACAAGGCGACAGCCGGGGCTATTTTGGGCCAGGTGCGAAGAGAAGGAATGCGCTTGTACCATCTCTTCTGGCTGGGCTCAGAGATGACAATATGTACCCAGGCCATATGCCAGGTAGCAAGGGCAGTTTCGGCAACAATGGCGGCAAACGCGACTCCTAGCCGGTTGGGAAAGATAGTGGCGATGATGGAGACAATGAAACCACCGAGTAGGCCCCAGGCAATGAACATGGACAGGCCACGGAATCGAGACCAGTAGCCAGCCCGGGCTCGGAGGTGCGAAATTGTCTGGCGAATCGAGGCCGTGAAAGGCTTGTTGCGCACGAGGAGAATTTCAGCATCGCCGTCCGTGTCGTCTTCGAGGCCATCCTGTTGTCTCTGCGTGGGCTTGGGCGCAGGGGTTGTAGAGTATGCGGGAGGGTCGGTTGGTTCTATAGTGCCGACGGGGACGTAGGCTTCGGTTTCCGGGCTCTCAACCATACATAGGATGGGCAGCAAGTGGCCGTAGGTATAACCGACCTGCAGATTGGTCAGTAGTTTTCCCCACTATGTAGCAGAGACACTTACAGAGAATAGAAGGGCAATGAAAACCAAACTAGAGAGGACAAAGATCAAGCCCGCCAGAGGTGAAATTCTAGGAGTGTCGCCTCCGGATGGCTGGTCCAGCCCAGTTGTGGCTGCGACGATACCACGGTGGGCGACTTCAACGCCACGGCGAACAAGATGCGTAGACAGACTCATGGTGAAGGAAGTGGGACGAAAGCAGACGACAGTGGTCGAAGAGGAAGAAAGGACGGAGGATAAAGAATGAAAGAGAGAAGCAGGTCTGGTGAGATTGATGGCCTTTATTTGTCGGGGTGAAACAAGTGGATGGATCAGACATTCCGCCGACGCCGAAGGCAGCAAATCAGCGTCACTCAGGCTGCCGCATTCCCTACACTACGAGCCAGCACTGCCACAGGGGCTTTACCTCCTGGGACTTTCTCCAAACACCCTTGGATTTACAGGTCTTGATGAAGGGAATACGCAGTACGTATTTCCCTCTGCACAGCCGGCGCGACAACCCGCCGAGCTCCATCTGATTCCGAACAACGATTTGTCCTCCCTCCTGCTCAGCTTGGGCCTAACAGGGCATGCTGCACCAGTGAGAGTGAAACCCACATGAAGTGAAACAAGTTGGTGACGGTCCTGGACCGCTATGGCGAGTTGAAGAAATAGAAGTGTTGATGTCCTCAGCGCTTGCCACAGCTGAGCGACACATACCAGGTCCTCCGAGAAATATCCCCCGTAGCTAGACCACGTCATTCGTTCTGAGACGATATCGCTCCTTAGTCTTTGTTGCTATGCTAATCATGTCTTCATCTCCGAGTGGTACAACTAGTAGTCGTCGCCGTCGACACCCCACCCAGAACTCCAGCAGCAAATAGATAACTCAGTTCGCCATATCCGGACGCCCAAACGATGATCCCAGGTGTCACCATCGCACCACGCTATGCAATCGCATGGTATGGAGGGCTCAGTCGTCCCCTAAGCTTTCTCTTACGAGTCGTTGACACTTTCTCCGGAAACCTTTGGGATCCTCCCTCCACATTTTGGCTGCATCCACATTCGCAGGAGACTCGTCGTTGGGAGAACTCAACATACTGATGACAGATATCAGGATGGTCTCGGGACTTTGTACGGGACTCCACCGTTCTGCAGCAGACTCATACCCGTATTGGTCATCCTCCTACAGCCATCTATCAGCCGGCGCCGCCAGCATTGAAGCGCGATAGCATCTGTCCCACCGAGTAGGACGGGTTGGTTGAAAGACGAGAAGCACTTACCGGAGGATGAAGGATAGATATACAGACCTCCCCAGTCGGATAGATATTAGGGTGAAATATTGGGGTTTCGAACTTCATTTTCGGAGGCATCAGGGGGTATTCTGGAGGGAAGGACAGGCGGGCACGAAAGAATCCTCCTGGTCCATCGTCAGCGAGCATCGAGACAAGTGGAAATCGCAAATTCATACCGCCGTAGTATTTACAGTCGTCATTGATCATGAGCATAACTTCCCACTCGAAGACGTTGTTATCCACAAGCCCACAGCTGATGCCCGGTATATCTTTGTCTGACTGCATCTGCTTCAATTGTCTGCCGAGCAACACAGCAGCTGCTGATGTAGAAGCCATACTGGCAGGAAGAAGGAGCGGTGCTGCGGTCCGGCTCGACGCAGTCTGACCAGAGGACTGTCCGTCTGATCAAAATATCTTCGAGGGAGGGTTGGAGGAGTTCGAGATCGGATGCGAGATCGCCGCGGACGAGGGGCCGGAAGCTGGCAGAGACCGGGTCGATGCCGTCGAAAGAGTTGTTTTCAACGATTACTTGCAGAATAACGAGTGGCTCGAGGAGATTCACGGTTGTAGCGAGTACAGGATGCAGCGTGGGGATATTACAGTATGACCTGGGCGCTGGGCCATTTGGTGCTATTGCTCCGATTTGTCCGCTACATCCGATCATGCTCGGGATCGGCACAAGGCTTCGCTTCGACCGAGTCTAACTACCTGCAGTTCTAGGGGGTCTGGTCTGCCTACCTCACCGACTTGGACTATGAGGCTGGCGACCTGGACTCAATATCTACCCATCTCTGACAACAATTTTCCTATAAAGTTCGTCTTCGCTGTCCTCTCAAATCATCTTTACTGAGGGTTGTTCAAGCTGCTTGTCATGAACCTCAGATACGGACGGACCCCGGTATATCGACATATTGCTTCGCGTCCTCGAATGGAAACTGAAGGACGCACGATCACATCGCGCGCAAACAGGATGCATCGGTGTCCCGAGTAATCAGCTGTATTCCGTCCGGTCAAAGCAGAGAAGAGCATCCTCACCCAGGTCTTCTTGGTTGGGTCAATGATAAAAACAGACCGAATGCTATTACGTGCAATACCATTTTCATCGGTATTGTCTATGCCGTGCTAATCCACCGTGTCCTTAGGAAATGCCATTCTTCGCGACCCGCATCTGGAATAATAGGGAGGCGCAGGTCCGTCCAAGCGATTCCAATAATGCTTTTGATTCACTCATCGTAATTTGAGATCGTTGACGCGAAGGCCCATCACTCTGGCTCCTCGGTCCTCGAATTCTTCCTTTAATTTGGCAAACGCTCCCAATTCGCGACGCAGACTGGATCTAAACATGACAGCCCACGGGTCGTCTATGAAATTGTGTAAATCAGGATCTCCATGTGTTGGCTTATGTCGGAAGTTTAGTATTATGCTGCTGTGTAGCAGACGTAGCATATGCCTAGCGTATTTCGCCAATAAAAAAGGAATTGTTTCGAATCAAAGCCTGCCTCGATCGAAGGGTAAGGATCAATAAACGACCAAGTGACCACGATGTATACGAAGCCAGATGAAAAATCATTGAGTATCCGCGTATAAAGGCATCACCATAAGGTGCAAGACTTCCGAAGGTTCAAACAGATAGGTGAGTGAGATCACTCTCCAGGATCATATGGCGAACAAGACTGAGCTTCGCAGGATAGGTTAAACCCTCATACCCATTCCATGCTGCACAATAACAAACTAAGAAAGTCGGATTTCGACAATCATAACTCCGACACATTGACTGCTCGGACCCAGGTAAAGAATCTATGGCAGCAGATACGTCGACCCAAGTTGTCAATGCAGCCTGTCTCTATACGTCTTTCTGGCTTTTGAGCCGCTCATGAACACGAACGCCACCCAAAGCGCAGTATGCTACCTCCAAGATGCTTCTGGCTCGAAAAGCCACCAAGTCGTAAAACGTCAAATCCTATTCAACGCCAAGGTACGTTGCTCGCTGCTTGGGTTCCCTCTAATTGCCGTATTTCCAACCACCTTCTCGTCTCATTCGTTCTCGCTGTTCTCGATCCGCTCTGACCTCTTCCAGTGTCAGCCCATCACCGCTGAGTGCCCAATTGGCGCTGCTAGTCCGGTCTCGGAGACGTTTCAATCTGTCCTTATTGCCTTTGGAGAATATCTCCTCTATTTTCAACGGTGCAATTGGCCCAAACACTACATCACCATCCATCCCCTCCTGCCGGATGAGTTGTTCGGTGAGGTGACCCGGCGTGGCCCAATCAGGAATAGGAAAAGCATTGCCGTCATCGTCTGAATCTTCATCCTCCGAGTCGGTTGGAATTTCCGGAAGATGAATGGCCTCCCCGTTAGGATACTGGGGCGAAGACTTGACTGTCTGGATCGTCTTCTGTTGCATGATTGATATGGGAGTTTTCGTATGAGCTGGTGGGTTGGGGGCGTCTGCAAAGGGAATCTTTCCGCCTGTGGCATATTGTTGCATCTGGGGGGGAGCGGCTCGGCTGGGAGGTTGCGGGAATTGGCTCACATACGTCGAGGATTGTGCTTGCGTGTATGTGGCATGGTTGAAGATCGACGCCTTCTTTCCGAGCTGTGACTGCCGTATGGGTGCACCGGAGACAACAGGACGCGGCAGAATTTCAGTCACAGTTTCTTCCTCAGTCTTCCGTCTCTTTGTGTCGCCTTGAGACGGCATAATGCCTTGCTTTGAGTTTTGTGGACGAATCGTGCCCTGCTCTTCCTCCAGTGGTCGTTTGGCAGGTTTCGCAGGATTGGTAGGCAAAGCATGGTTCAGTAATGACCGGCCCGTGGGCTGACCACCAAGACGCGAGGAAGGTCTGACCTGGGCGGCTTCGTTAGCAGCACGCTCCAATCGTTGCTGCTCCGCCTTTCTAGCAGTCTCTTGACGTTTGCGCTCAATAGCCTGCTGTTGGGCCTGTCGCTTCGCTTGTTCTGCTGCCACTCGCTCTCTTTCACGCTTCTCTGCCTCCGCACGCTGCCTCTGTTCCTGCCTTCGCGCCTCTTCCTGTTGAGCTGCTCGCTTGCGCTCCAGTTCTCGCTTCTGCTCAAGCTTTCTCTGTGCCTCTCGTTCGTCCTGTTCTTTCTTGCGTTCTGCTGCAAGCAAAGCTCTTGGCTTCGGAGGCGGATGGATCGAGGATTTCACGGTTGTCGATGCCGATGACTGCAAGGAGGCAGTGCTAGCCTTTTTGTTCAACCCGGGGCGCTTGGGCTCGGCAGCTAGAGTTTCCTGTGTATTTGAAGCCGCCTGCGATGAATTGGCTGGCACTCGTTGAGACAGTGTCCCGACTCGTATAGACACAGGTGCGGGCTTAGCCTTGTTGATCGGGTGCTCTTTTCCCAGTCTTATTGGCCGGGTTGGTCTCGCCGCCGATTCGGTCGATTCTTGTTGCTCAACAGTCTGATGTTTTGGGCTTGAAGGCCGGAGTTGCTCAACATCCTTTTTGGCCACCTGTTCACGTACGAGCTTTTGTTCGGCGACCTTCTTTCTCTCCTCTTCTCGTGCCTTCTGCAGTTGGTCGTCCATCCTCTGCTTTAAGTGGACCTCTTTTTCCTTTCGTTTCTCCTCCTTTTCTCTCTCCGTGGAACTGCGTGTCTTTCTCGCCTCCTTGGGGGGGTCTTCCGGTAAAGGCTTATCTTCAATTAGAGCATTGAGGTTCGGGTACATTCCAGGCATTGCATTTGAAGCCACCTTGAGAGCATTAGGAGATAAAGTTTCCAGTTTGGCCGCGGCTGATATGCTTGCACTGCTAGTGAATAAGCCTTTGGCAGTCTTCATGATAGATTGCAACTTGGACTTGGAAGCACTTAGATCGAGATAGCGCTTCGGCGAGCCTTGTGGGGTTGATATGCTTTGAGTTGGATTTGAAACTGATATGGATTTCGCGGGGCTCGGCGGCGGTGCCATGGATGCCTTTGCAGGTGAAGCCAGAGTGGCGGTTGATGCAGATTTGGTGTGACCAAAACCTGGCATCATCTTACCGGGGCCCGGTGACATGCGAATGGGAGTCCTCATGCGCTCTTCATGCGCAATCAGTTCAGGGGCCCGAAGATCAAATTCATCCTCACTATCTGATCCCAGAGTCAGTGCGGTCTTTGAAGGAGATGGTCTGGCAGCTTCTGGACTATTCAACGGCTTGATCCAGTCATCGTCATCGTCATTCGCGACCTGTGTCCGTATTTCGTTCTGGGGTTTCTGGCGTTGTTCATCCAGCTGTTTTACGTCTGACAGGACGATAGCTGAAGGGATTGATTTAGAAGGTCTTGGGGGAGGAATCCTCCCAAGCATGTCAATTTTCTCATGCAGTCTTTGCGTCGAGAACTTTGCGTGATCTTTAGTGACTTGGTTCTCGGTCTCAGAATCGTCGTGGCCCAGAATCTGCACGTTTGAGTCGTTTTCATCGTCGTCTGCATCGTCCATCTCAACATCTTTATTGTCATCACGGGCCGGGTGCGATAGAGATTGATTCGAAGGAACGTTCGGCCGAAACCCATAAGTACATGATGGCGGTCGGTGTACTTGGTCGACGTGGCTTGTTCGTGAGATTCTAGTGCCTATACTTGTTTTCAATGGCTCCCGAGCCGGCAGGGAAGCAAATGTCAGACTGCTCTTCCTCACCAAAGGTCTCTCAGGGGTTGATTCATCGGAAGGGGAGCCAATGTCATCCAATTCGGGGTGTATTTGTGCTTGCCGCTCGTTTCTCGCTTCGATATTGTTACTCCGATGAATATCCAGGGGTGCATTTTGAGGCGCCACTCCCATCGCAACCACTTCGGGCCCCGTTATCTTTGTTGTTTGGTCTTCTTTTGCTGAATGAAAGGATCCTTCGGTAGTACGGTGTCCTTCTTCCATTGCATCATCCATATTATGGTCTGAAGACATATCTGTATTTCCAGAGGACTCTTCATGTACTGCTTCTGGTACGTTGCTCGAGTAAGAATGTATGCCGATATCCACGTCATCTTGGCTTGCGGTGTGGTAGCCTGAGTCGGTCTGTGACTTAACAGGTTGCTGTGTTTGATCGTTGCCGGTTGGGATTTCGAAGCGCAGCTTAGGCTGATCTACTCTCTTTTGCGGACTCTGTCGGAGTAAAGGTTTTGATGAAAAGACATCGCTCAGAGGCTACGGCACAAGCATTAGCTCCTGTTTCATTGGGACGAGGAAAGAATCTGCTTACTATTCGTGCATCTTGGGTGTTTCGTTTCCTTGCAGTACGAGGAGTCTTTCCTCGGAGCTTCCCGGGTGTCTTAAAGACGTTGGCGACATCGCTATTTCAGGTCAGCATTCCCTTAAACATCGCAGTTTCTGAATTGGGCATACAGATGGCTTGTGTTGAATATCTCGGCCATATGCTCACTGAGCCATTCAAGCTGGTGCTGGGCTGGATAAATGACATCCTCTTTCTCATTTCGTAGTAGGCTCAACGCGTTCTCCTTTTCAGCTGCGATCCAAGAGACCGATCCGACTGCTGTACCTTTGGTTGCCATTGTGCTCGGTGAAGTCAACACGGGATGGAGAAGATGAATTGTTGAATACGTTGGCGTTAAGGCTCCTCTAAAAATACCTTGTTGGAGCCTAGGAAGTGCATGTTCCTTATTCCAGGAAGCGGGCTGTCGAGAGCTGAACGTGAGATGAAAGAGGAGGTCAATGAAAGTGGGAATCTTTCCTATGTTTTGGTTAAAGCCGCTTTGGTCTTAGTGCAGAGCACGCACTCACGTGACCGTAGTGGCGATTTTATTTCATGCTTAGCACCGGTTTCAAGTCATGCTAGTATTTCAGGACTCCATCCCGTGTCCCCCTTTCCGCGAAGTACGCGGTACACTGATCCAAACTTGTGGGCTCAATTGGGATTCAACTCTCACAATCATGTTCACCAGAAACCAATAGTGGGAAGCAGCGATGTCGAACGCGCCAATGACGCCGTCGCGATTCAGTGGATCGCTGACCGCATCCCCCCCGTTCCGAGATACTCCGTCTCGGAATCAAGGGCTTGCAGGTTTCGAGACACCTCACAGAACAGCGATTGGCTGGGTTGGATTCCTCAGACTAAGTCAAGTCCTGGCCTAGTTGGAGAAGACAGCGATCTCGGAGTTTCTCCAACGGCTTGTGTCTTCGTTATAGGTTGGCCTTTCCCAGTCGCGACCACTCTTTCTCCTGATACCATGGTCGCAGTCGTTGACTTTTAGTTGCCTTCACCTCATCTAACTGCCACCATGGCCGCCAGACATTATGCCAGTCGCCTATCACGACAAATAAACTTCAAGTCGCGGTCAGCAGCCCTCCCCTCTCAACCTCGGTTATGGCAACAAGCACCTTTCAACCATGGAAGAAGGCACTTTTCTGCGACTGGGAAATGCAGGATCATGGAGACGAGCTGCTTCACTGAGGAGCAAATGACCGTGCGCGAGGCTATCCAGAAGATCTGTGCTCAATTTCCGAATGAATACTGGCAACAGCATGACCAAACTGAGACCGATCCTAAGGAATTGCATGCTGCTTTGGCAGCTGACGGGTGGCTTGGTATTGCTCTTCCAGAAGAATTCGGAGGCGCAGGGCTGGGCATCTCCGAAGCTACCATGATGATGCAGACAATATCTCAGTCCGGGGCAGGCATGGCGGGTGCTCAGTCTATCCATGGTAACGTCTATGCGGTCAGCCTTTTCTCTTACTCCTACAAGTGGGGACAGTTTGTTGATTACAAGTCTAAAGACGCAACCGCTTGCCAAGTTTGGAAACAAGGAACAACTACATTCTACGATACCGAACATCATCAACGGTAAATGGAGAGTATGCTTCGGTGTGACTGAGCCAAATACCGGGCTGGACACGTTGAGGTTAAAGACCACGGCCACACGGAAAGGTGACAAATACATCATCACTGGTGAGCAGCATCCCAGATGTTTAAGCACAGGGAGAGATACTCATACCGACCGCAGGACAAAAGATCTGGATCACGTGTGCACAGGTCGCTTCGAAGATGATCCTCCTGGCTCGGACAACACCTTTGGAAAACGTTAAGAAGCCGAGCGAAGGGCTATCCATGTTCTGTATCGATATTGACAGATCCAACCCAGCCCTTGAGCTCAAACGAATCAAGAAGATGGGAGGAAGAGCTGTCGATGCCAATGAAGTCTTTTTCGATCACTACGAGATACCGGAGGACACTCTTATTGGAGAAGAGGGGCAAGGGTTCAAGATCATATTGCATGGAATGAACGCTGAAAGATGTCTCTTAGCGGGAGAGGCGCTCGGACTTGGCTATGCAGCGGTTGAGAAGGCTGCGCAGTATGCTAAGGAGAGAGTGGTTTTCGGCAGACCCATTGGAAAGAATCAAGCCATTGCACATCCCCTGGCTGACGCGTACATGAACCTGGAAGCCGCCAAGTTAGCTGCCTACCATGCAGCTCGGTTATACGATCGAAGCAAAATCGATACCACCATCAGCCCTCATGCGGTCGGAGTTGCATGCAACAGTGCGAAATATCTGGCGGCAGAGGCAGCTTTCAAGGCTTGTGAAAGAGCCGTCATGAGCCACGGCGGTATGGGATATGCCATGGAATATGATGTGGAGAGATATTTGAGGGAAATATTTGTCCCCAGGATCGCCCCAATCAGTCGAGAGATGATTCTGAACTTTGTGAGCGAAAAAGTACTGGAGCTGCCTAGGAGTTATTGAAAATGTGTAACAGATAATATATTCTGTATGTCGTGAAACCCTTGGTACTGTGGCGGCGGAGGACAATCGGGTAGAATAGTTTTTAATTTCCCTCTCTTCTTTTCCCCGCACTAAATATTTGTGTCCTGATCCGCTGACAACAACTCTTCGTCCTGTGTGCAATCATGGCGCGGGTAAAAGAACTTGCAGATGACTTTGATGAGCGAGTCAATCCCAATGATGCGCTCAAAAATCCACCTTCAATCGAGGAGTTGTACGATCAGCACATCTCGGCTTCCGATCCTCCACAAAGCCAGATGTCTTCCAAAAGCTTCGAGGAGATCGTGCAGGACATGAGCAAAACCCCACTCTTCATGAACAGTCTTGACGAAGCGACTAACGACGGTACGCCCAAACCCACGGCTGCTCAGGCAATTGGCTGAGCAATGTTGCACAGACGGCGAGAACATAATGCTCGAGGCCATCAAAGCCCTGCAGCACGAGGGCACAAAGGCGGAGGTGGCACGGGGATTCAAAGACCGCGGGAACGAAATGGTCGCAGAGAAGAAATGGAAGGATGCCAAAGAGTTTTACACGAAAGGGATCGCAGTCCTAGCAAACAAGGATGAGGGACAATGGGACAAGGCCGAGGATCAAGCCGCGGAGGAGAAGCTCCGGAACCTGATTAACGAACAATTATACGTCAACCGAGCTCTCTGCAATCTAGAGCTGAGTAGGATTCACCGAATTTCGGCGGAAGGCTTGCTAACGATTCAGAAAACTATCGATCGACCACACTAGACAGTGCAGCTACCCTTCGAATCAACCCCTCAAACATCAAAGCGCATTACAGGTCGGCCTCCGCCTTGCTCGCCCTCGATAAAGTTCTCGAAGCGCTGGATGTCGCATCCCGGGGGTTCAAACTCGATCCGAATAACCTAGTTCTGAAGAGATTGCTGGAACAGATCAGAGGCAGAATGAAAGTAAAAGAGGCACAAGACCGCCGGCGCTTGGCAGAGTTGAGAAGGAAACAACAGGAGAAGAACGCGTTAGAGGCGGCCTTGAAGGCAAGAAAGATCATCGTCCGTGGTTCTAAACAGCCTCCCAACTTGGAAGACGCGACGATTCGGTTGTCGCCAGACCCTCTATCGCCCACCAGTCTGCTTGAATTCCCGGTGATGTTGCTCTATCCGATGCACAACCAGACAGACCTGATCAAAGCATGGGCTGAGAAAGATGCCATCACTCATCATCTGAGCTACATTCTGCCCTTGCCGTGGGACAGTAAGAGCGAATACAAGCTGTCGACAGTAGAGTGTTATATGGACACCATTAATGGCGGGCTGATGAAGGTTGGGAAGAAGCTGACTCTACTGGAAGCGCTCTCCAACGGGAAGACAGAAGTGGTGGATGGGCTGGTCAGGATTTACGTAGTGCCTATGTCATTGGCACCTCAATGGATAGAAGAGATGAAGAAAAAAAGGGGCAAATAGAGGCAATGCAGCATTGATTTGGCAGGAGGATTTCGTTCCATCGTAAGGAAATGACTTCTCCCGCCATCAGCGAAGTGGCCTCCTAAGGGTATCGCATCAAAGCAAAAGACATCAGCCTATGTGGCTACTAATGAGGGCTAGTCCTTTCAACCTCTTCCCAACTCGCTCCCAATTTTCATTAATAACCGGTCACTACGCAAGCCACCTTACCAGATGTCATCGATCTGACCAAGTGTGCATCAGCCTCCCGTTACCAGTCCCTTTCCCTTCGGAGTTCCACTGCCTGATCCCTGTCAAGGCCCCTCTTTGCCACGGACCGAGTGACGCCTGACGCGGGTTTTTAGCTTGTTTTGGCTGGAGATTCTTGGTGTTGTTGGCGGCGACCAGCCGCTACCCACTGCAGCGCCACCCTGCCTTAGTCAAAACGCACACACCGCATCAACCCACGTTTGCTTCAAGGCTACGCTACGCTTCGCATCTTCACGAAATTCATTAGTTAGCCCACGGGCCCAATCAAACGACTGCTAGCACTTCCAGAAAAGCCATGAACAACCCCGCCTTACCCATATACGCTTCCCAGAACCCAGGACCGTACGCTTTCAGCAATTCCCAGCCCAATGTCGGCTACTCCATCCCTCTCGGAACTCCCTTTGACCATGCCCAGACTCCATTTCAGTCGGGCATGATCCCAAACCAGATGCAAAGGCCCTTATCCCACCATCACCAGGCGCAGCAACCTCTATCTCACCAGCTCTACCAACAGCATCCTGCCCAGATTGGCACGGTGCCACGGCCAGATAGTCGATCCAGCTATAGCGGACAGTCCAAAGGTCAGTCAGACTCTTTCTGTGGTCATACACAAAAGCATCACCTACTTGCCGGGGTGAGTTCATGGACTTGACAAAAGTACTCACTTCCAAGCAGGGCATCCCTCCAATGGTCAAAATCCTCTCCCCGTCCCAGTGACCCAAGGTACCAATCCGGCGCCAAGTCCTGCTCAGTTACAGAGTGCCATCACTTCTGCTCAGTCCTTCCCATCTACGTCTGCGCCGGTGCCGCTGGATATGAACATGGCGGGAAATATGACACTTCAAGGGCAGTCTAGTTCCACGTTGGCTCAACAAGCCCAGATACAGAATGCGACACAAGTGGCCCGCGCTGCTCCCCAACAGCAGCAGCAGCAGCAGCAGCAACAGCAACAACAACAACAACAAACAAGCGCTGGTTCGGCGACCTCACCACAATCAGCTGCGAGGGAGCGAGCGCGGGTCGCAGTGTTATTGGAGATTAATACGCAGTTGCTGCAAGAGGTTGTATCATTACAGGCGCAGGGAAAAGCCGGGACCACACCGACTCAGGGACAACAATCACCAACCTCGCCCACCTCGGCAACAGATCCGGCCAACGCGATTACCAACAGCCCAGGAGAGCCGCCAAAATCAGCAGGGGGAACACCTCAATCGAAGCCGCCATCACCTGAGTATGCAGAATGCATGCGACGCTTACAGGCTAATCTGTCCTACTTGGCTGCTATTGCTGATGCAAAAAAGAAGATCAATGGAGCAGTGCCCTCTGGTCCAGCAATAATGATTCCTCCGCCTCACTTCCCGCAGGTAAATGACTTATATAAAAAATTGAATGCCCTCTTCCCGGAAGCAAGCCATTCGGCGATCAACAAAGCAATGGCGCAAGCGGCAGTCCAAAACCAGAGCATGGCTCCAAAACCGCAAACAGCATTCACTCCTGCGCAAGGGTGATTGCGCGCACTTCAACGTGGTCGATTCGATCAGAAGTTGCAGGCTTCGTCCGATGAAGGCGCTGCTGCGTCGTATTGCTTTGCCTGAAGAGTTCTTTTCGCGCTTACCTGTCGCTGAAGGGATAATTCTCGAATCAATCATGGCGAATGCATCTCACGGATAGTAGTTTGGTTCCTGGAAGACACGATAGGATTTGAGGACGGTGGAGTCCTATCATTCGCACCACGGAGTTGTCAAGCTGGCTATATTCAATCCCAGTCTCCAAGTGCCAATTCGCATCGGTCAACGGATGCCCCGACCTCAGTCCCCTTTCGGAGATACCCTGAGGTTTCGGCGCGCGCTTCAGCGGATGATCGCGGCAGCAAAGGATGGAATTCTGGGTCTAGAGCACAAGAATGATCTTGTGGCATCCAGCGCATGCAGTGGATTGGGGAGGAATAGGATGCTATGTAGATTGTACCAGCAAGATCTGGTACCATGTACTGGTTGAATTCAGTATCTGAATGTTTAAAGTTGGGGCCCTAGTGCCAGAATGATCCTGCCTTTGAAGATTTGAAGGCTTGAAATCACCAAGATATTACCCGTGTTGATTAATCTATACGAGCCGGGAAAGGCTGCCTAGGCTCAAGCTGCAGCCAAAGGGCAGGCATAAAGTGCCAGGAGGTATAAAAGCTGCCTGTGATGAATTAGTTTATGTTAATGTGTTTGATACTTCATGGTCAGCAGCCGATGGAAACAAGTCCATCTGAGCACCGAGACGGCCGAACAGCTCGAACTCCATTCTCTTCCCTGGTCTCGGATCCCGAAGTATCTCACCCATAACATCAGAACTAGGCGGGAAGCAGTCTTCGAAGGCTGGTTCTCCGGCACCTATCATATTCGCCAAGACAGCCTATCTGAAGTGCCATCGTAGAAGTGGAATACTTGGTGCATCACGGCGAGTGAAGAGCTCCCGATCAAGCTGCCCACCCTGGACACTTCTTCCCTAGGGCAGAAAGCAATAATCTTGTAGTCATCGTCCGGATTGATGGAGATATCATGTTAATCGAAGAGAGGGTGGACATCGGATCGAAGCAGTAGACCATTCTGTACTGAGTTGATAGGCCCTCCTGCTGCTGGTGTAATTGTGATAGATCGATAGAGGTTCTGATTCTCCCAGTGTTCTTGATGAGCGAGGAAAATATGCTCAGCTTGGAAGCCTCTGAAATACTCGACTCCGTCGTGTGTAGGTACCTAATCTCCAGATACAAGGCATCGGCCATCTCGCGAACGAACGGCATTGTGGAAGGCGGCGAGACGAATTGCAGAGGAATGAAGGGTAGAGCTTCTTCATTATTGATCTCGAAAGGACCTGCTTGTTGTTAGCCATAGAGATACTTTGTCGAGTGATATTGTAAACTACTAGCAGCAACAATGTAGTACTTGTCAGGTTGAAGGTGATCGTCCATTCCTCTCGATCGTTGTTCCCGACTCATTTCGTGAGAAGAAGGTAGATGAAGATATGACAATAACCTCTACCATGGAGTAGAATATGGCATTTGTGACACCGCCTCTGTGGAATAGCTGCCGGTTATCTTAGCTGAATCTTCTAAGTTGTAGATATGAACATTCCGAGCCGCGGAGCGGAGGACGAAAGCCATATATCATCGTTTTGTGGCGATGAAGGGAGGGATGCTTCGGACGGAGAGTCCAAGGTTTTTGAGGCCGATATGGTGGCCGTGTGGGATGAAGAAGTCGCATGGCGAGTGCAGACTTTGTATTCAGCAAGAGCTTACAATTGTGGGAATGAACGCTGAATTGGTGGACAGAGGGAGGTTCGTAATAATGCGGTACCTCTTGTTTGGGCGCCAAGGTATGGGAAATCTGCTCGCTGGATTCGGCGCAAGGTGATGCTGCCCTGTGCTCACCCCCTGCCCGCCCGGACGCACGAGCTGGGGTGAGCCATGGCCCCTGTCTCACCAATGTTTGGGGCTAATGCTTCCAGAGCGTGGGCGCGAGGCTGTGTAGCGCCAACACCATCAGCATGGACCGCGCCTGACGACTGTCGAGCGTCTCTACCGTCGTGAGGTTCTAGATGTTATTGTAGCAAAGCCTGATCCGACACAGCCTCATCTGATGAATGAACAGCACATTTCCGCGGATCGATCGATGTTTCTTCCGGCCAAAGAACGCCAGTGGAACCTTCAGACTCATCACTTGGATGCGCAGCCATGGACGACGACACTGATTCCCAAAGCCTGCTACGATCCGTGCTTGGATTTTTCGCTCGGAAACGACCGCAAAGTTTGGCAAAGCCGGCGTCACTGAGATCACGGAAACGCGAGGCCTGGCTACGGACGGATGCATTTCTGCAGCACGATGATCTTGGCGAAGCTGACCCAGAGAGTGTTGCAAGGACTCTACGCGCATTTGAACACCTTGTTCAAGACGACTCTAATCGAGACATGGATTTCGTAGGTATTTTTGATATACAGCAAACTCCAGTTTTTCGGTCCGTTGGCCGCTCATTTCCTGCCTACTAACGACAATTCGCGGAGCAGAGCTTCCAATTACCCGGATATGAGCAGTATCCAACGCTCCGCCGCATGATCGAGAATCCAAATCGCGATCCGCATGCCGACCAAGGCACTGTCATTCGCGTTGGCAAACGGAGACGAGAATGCGATGACGCCATTCAGGAACTTTTGCATTTGGAACAGAAGAGAAAGAAGCGCCGAGTGCTGCCTAGTGAAGAGCCAACTCAAGGGTCCAATCTCGAAGACCCCGAGGCCGACTTCGCCGTGCTGATGAGGAGATATTTGGTGTCCTTGGATAATGCGTTGCGAAGACACTGGGTTTGCGTTTGCCAGAAGTGCTCAGGGTTGAGCGTGAGACTGTCGCTGCCACAACACAAAAAGGATCTCGACGCTGAGGCGAGTTTCGAAGTATTCTTCGGCGTGCGGTCCGTACCTGCAACTGCATTGCAAGAAGCCAAAATCACGGTCAAGTAGGCTCTCGAAGCTTGGTGTGATAACTTCTATTCACTAACACTGTCGGTGCAGACACCTACACAACAGCAGATTGAGACGCTCATCTGAGCCTATAATTAGCAGCCCACCCGACTTGGCCCACATATGCCAGAGCATCACAGAGTCCCTCGGGCAGCGAAATTGCTTGCATTTCGCTCTCGAGGATGGGATATTTCAGAGGCTTCGCCCGCAACCAAAGACATTTGGTAGTGACCGAATATCTCGGACGGTATCCTTGTCGGCACTGTTCAACCGCCAGCAAGAATTACTTCGTGGTGAATCAGTACTGCCTCTCAAGGGGAAGCGAGTCTTGGCTGTAACACTGGCTTCAGCACTCCTTCCCTTCTTGGAGACACCGTGGCTGCAGTTTTCCTTCAATCACTCAATGATCCAATTTTTTGAGCCACGGCAGGATGGAGAACTCCCCGATATCACGAAACCTTTCCTGGCTCTGGAGCACGTTCCAACCATCTCAGCCCGCAGTACAGAAACCGGAGACATCTCTGGCGCCTCGAAACACATGGTTCATCCCAACGCTAGTGTGCTAGCGCTAGGGATACTCTTGTGCGAACTTCACTATTGCACATCTGTGGAGCTGCTGGCAAAGGACCCGCAAGTTGCCAGGAACGTCAACGATGATTTTTATACCTGTCTCGATAAGCTTGATGCTCTGAAAGACGATGCTTGCATGGATTACTATCTCGCTACAAAGGCATGCCTTACTGGGGAGTATTATCCCCCTGGACAGCAGGCTGACTTCGAGGACGTCAGCGTTCAGCGGCTCTTCTACCAAAACGTCGTCAAACGACTTGAGGCCGTGATATTCAAGGCATGGGGCATTCGAATAGAGGATTTGGGTTCATTCAACACTGAACGGAATGAATCCTGCTGGGGCACTATCGGTCGAGAAGTTGTCCGCCTCCATACAAGCAAGGTCGATTGCTCTAATGCAGACAATCCAGCAAGGGCAAGTCCATTTCGTTCAATTTCTGACACAGCGCCTGTGAACTACGCATCCCTCCACTCAGACATCGTGCTGCGAATGTCGGCACAGCCTTCTTCGGGATCGCAAACCCACGGACACCTCGCCGAGCCTTCAGAGAAGAGCTTGTACTTTTTTGATGCAAGCCACCAGACAGGTCCTGAACAAGAGTGAGGTGTTTCCGATTGGCTATAAGACTTCGTCGTACTAATGACCTACTAGGAATCCACTCTCGGAAAGATGGATGGACAATTTGCTGTCCTCGATCTATCCGTATGTTGACTTTGATTTTGACCTTGCTGAACCGGTGCGAATAGCGATTCTGGACTCTGGACTCGATCCTGAAAACCCATTCCTGATCGAGGACCAACAACTAGCCAATCCACGAATCAAGGAAGCGCGAAGTTTTGTACATGGAACAGGATTGCACGACATTCGAGACGAGATAGGGCACGGCACTCATGCTCTTGGTCTCCTTCTCAAAGTTGCCCCATGCGCTGAAATCTATGTCGCCAGAATTGCGCGACGAGAAACTCTGGATCCCAATACCTATGATGACATTGCAAAGGTAAGGCTGTCTCTATACCAGAGCAGACTTTTTGGACTGGGCTAATGACCTGTGCAGGCCATCGATCACGCAGTTGAACAATGGAAAGTGGACATTATATCAATGTCATTCGGGATTCGTGAATATCACGAGCTCATGAGCACAGCTATATCTAATGCACTGAATAAGCGGACGTTGTTGTTCGCGGCAGCGTCGAATGATGGGGCCAATCTTGGCAGAGCTTTTCCGGCTCAATATCCCAGCGTCTTTTGTATACACTCAACTGATGGAAATGGCAATCCCTCAAATTTCAACCCTACCGCAAGCGAAACGGACGTCAACTTCAGTCTACTTGGGGAGCATGTCTCTTCTCACTGGCCGGCTGGCATAAACGGACACGATCAGACTGTCAAGGCCATGTCAGGAACATCGGTCGCAACACCGATCGCTGCTGGCCTGGCCG